CCCCCCCAACACACATCCACACACACACCCATAGACAAATGAATGCACCTTCCTCCATGAGTGTGTGTGGTGCAGGAGTGAGCATTCCAGCCTTTACGAAGACCTGGCCCTGGAGTTGCAGCAGCCGACGCCCACAGCCCCATCCCCTTCGCCAAGCTCCATTGCACTCCATGGTGGCGGCGAGAAGGAGGCCGCGGACAGCGAGCTGAGCAGTCGGTGCCAGGCCATGATGCGGGCACTGGACAGTGCGCTGCTGGCACATCGATATGACTTTGACCTCACCAGACCACGATTGTAGCCAGCCAGGGGACAGAGAGTGAAGTGCAGTGCATGCAGGACGGTGTGTGTCCTGGCGAGCATGGAGGATAGCGATGGACAGACAATCAACAGGCAGGCAGGTTTACATGTAACAAATCGCAACCACGAGACACACAAGCAAGACATCCCCTTCTTACCCAGGGCTGTCATGTCAGCGGTGGACGAACGGGTGCAGTGACTGAGGCTGCTTTGATGCTGGTCGGTCCTGAGTGCAGGTAGTATCCTGGGGCGAGTGGATGCTGCATGTCAATCTGTCCCCTCTCTCTGCGTTGATTGGCGTGAGTAGGTTGATTGTGTTGAGGCCCAAAAATAGGCAGGGGGGTGAGAAGTACGCACGCATGACCGCAGCTGGCCGTACCTACCTGTCCTCACATCCACATGAATGACGCATCCATCCATCCATCCATCCCACACGCGTGGAAAACGGCCGCTGCAGTCAGTCAGTCAGCCAACGACCGATCTACCCACCCCACTCGCCCAGCAGCTGGGTTGTCGTCCTGTTGACGACATCCGTCTGTCAGCTACACGTAGACACAGCACCACTCGACTCGACTCGACTCGACTCCACCGCACCACGCCGCACCATACCCAACACACAGAGAGACAAAGACAGACAAAGAAGAAACGGAGGACAGCTGTGTATCCGTATGTATGTGCATGTATTCATGTCATGTGTGGGTGCTTTATGTACACCAAGAAGCAGACAGGGAGACAGGGAGACAGGGAGACAGGGAGACAGGGAGGGAGGCCAGTTCGGTCTCTGCACTATCATACACACCACCCACCATCCCTCGCGCCACCGGTAAATCCAATGAATGGGGGCTGGCGGGCTACTGATCATCCCTCCGCCATGAGAGAAACTCATCAAGCTGGCTGACCCTCTCCCGCCCCAGCAGCGCAGACAGACCCAGCCGCGCGCTGTCCCGCGACAGCAGTGACCGGAACTGACGCGCCAGCCACGCCTCGCTGCCGAAGACTGACGACATGTCGGCCTCAGCGGTCTCCTGCTGCTTCTGGTCCTCCTTGACCTTCCTATTGTCTTTGTCTGGTGGTTTCTTGACGTTGTTGGTCTGTGTGTGTGTTGTTTGCCGTTTCCTCTTGGCCGCCTGCTGCTGTGTCCTCTGCAGATTTCGGTGCTTCATGTCGTTCTTGTGCTTGAGCCGCCGCCGCGCCAGATACCTGTGGGGGTCCACGCACACCTGTGCCCACATCAGTGCCCAGTTGCCCTTGCCGGGCGGCAGCAGGAGGCCGTTGGTCAGGGGGCCATGTATCTTCGAATAAGGCTGATTCACACAGTGAATGACGCACACAAGACAGAAACGTATGGCTGCGATGCCTGACGTACGTGTCTCGCCCTCCCACCCACCTGCAGCGTCCACAGACAGCTGGGGTCTGATGGGTCGTTGACTGTCGCAGAGCCGTGGCCCCTGCACCACGACCAGCATAACAAACAAGGGTGCATTGCATGGTTTGTCTGGATGTGGTGTGGGTGGTAATACCATGCGGACACGTTCTTGTGTGGATGGAGGTTCATCCGACCCAGATTCACCTCAGCCGTCGGACGAATGTAGGGGGCCTCGCCCTTCTGCACAACCAGACCAACACAATACACACACACTTAGTGCTGCTGGTTCGGTAGTGTGGCATTCTGCGTGTTGTGTTGTGTTGCGTGCCTTGCCTTGTATATGACGGGCGTGTAGAAGTCCGGGCAGTCTGCGGGCCGGAATGTGTATGCGGCAGAGGGGAACCCCGCCCTGTCAAAGGCCGTGAAGCCGATCAGCACATCGCCGCTGGCCGTCGCTGCCACCGACGGATACGCATAATCCCAACCCTTGGGCGGCTGCACGCACCCAACACACACACAAAGTGCAGTGCACCCCTACATCGGTCGATCCGTGTGGTGTGTCGGCTGTCCACTGACCAGGATGGCTCTGGTGAGCAGTGCAGGTATGGCTATTGGCGTGACGGCCTTCTGGGGTGGCGGCGGCACCAGGGCGTCGAATGACCGCGAGAACATGGTAAATACGTCCAGCTGGGCAAAGGCTATGAACGACTGCTGACGTCGCTTATCTGAGACACACACACATCAGATATCCAATCGTTCCGTTCGCTCAATCAGATGACCGGCCTTTCTGTGTGCATGTGTGGGGCGGTGAGCGACCGAGGCTGGCGTCTTTGATCGTCCTGAACCCCGTCCACACGCAGAAGATGGCCAGCTGTGTCTGCCGACAAGACTGCAGGCACGAATGCCGAACCAAAACGAGACACAAACATGGTGCATCCATCGATTTTGTTTATGTATATCTCCCTGTCTTCTGACCTGCAGGAAGTCATCACCGAGGGATATCTCGAACCCTCCCAGCTGGCTGCCTGTCGTGTCCTCATCCGGATCGTCGAACTGAACGGCCTGATACATGTATACAAGTCAAGACACGCACACACACACATGTATCTTAATGTACACAAACACACGGCTCGGCTCACTGGGAAGAATGCGTTCGGTCCGACGGTGAGGATGCCGGATTGCAGGGACGACAGTATGTCGTTCCGCACCTCCAACACCTTTTCCAGCTCCTTTCTAACTTCTATCCGGGTCGTCTCGTTGAGTTGCCGGTTGGTGTCCCAATCTAAGAGCTCCGACAGTGTTAGGTCTGACAGGTCGAAGGGCCTGTTTAGATCGGTGAAGTTGAGGCCCTTGATCGGGTTATCGACACGGCTTTCATTGGTGAAAGGGCTGGTCTCGTTGATGACACGGTCGAATATGAGTTTTCGCGCGGCGGTGTTGCCATTGAGGAAGCTGTCAAGGCTGAAGGCCGTCAGGGGGGTGAAGATGCCGTTCAGCGGCGTGTGGAACGATTGCTTGGGGTCGGGCCGCCCTGTGTGTGCAGAGGGGGAAGGGGAGGGAGACATAACTCCACGTGTGTCATCGGGACATTCCCGCCAAGGTCACACGTACCTGGGCCACGATTGGTGAAGCCGTAGAGCCAGTAGCCCGCCAGCTGTGTTGCCGTCTCTTGCAGTATTGTTGGCTCCGCTGGGTTCTCGGAGCGGTCGAAGCTGGCGAAGATCTCACTGCCGACGGGACCCAACAGAATTTTCTGATCTTCGGGCACTGTGACAAAGAGACGGAAAGGAATGGGAATGCCCGTGCGCGTGTTTCTGTCTGCCTGTCTGCGTGCGACATGCACTGACCTACCTTGCACGTATGGGACAAGAGAGAGCGATCCGAATTGGTCCACAATCTCGATGGTAGGCTTATCAAGAATGTCAGTGTTGTTTTCGTCGATGAGTCCCAACTCAAATCGGTTCGACGGCCATCGTTCAGGACGAAGAGGGGGTTCGTCGGGGGTGTCATCATCCCGTATCAAGAGGTCTGCAAAATTCTGGGGGTCAAGGATCTGTCGCATTGGAATGAATGCGCTGCGGCTGCCAAGAAGACGACGCGTGACGTCTGGCCGGCCACACAGACCACGCACACATAGAGACTACAGTGGGCAGATCAGCCGCTTTTCTCTGTATGTTTGTACTTACTTATATTTGTGTCGAAGACGTTGTAGGCAAAGCCGAGGATGGTGGGGGAGACCCCCAGGCTGTGGTGGGAGAGGTAGAATTTCGGCTGGCAAATCGGATCCGGGTTCGTGAAGCCAAACAGCTCCTGCAGCAGATCCGACAAGATCGCCGCCGTCACCGTTCTGTTGCGATCCTGCTCCTCAGTGGCGTTGAAGATGGTGCTGGGCTCGCGCTCGTCAATCTGACAGATGACCAAATGCACGCACAGATATCCCACTGTGCAGCCACACACAGCGATTCCTCTGATGCGCGCTCACCGGGAATCGCCCGATGAGCCACTCCTTGGGCCTGAATGACTTGGGCGCGCTGGTCTTGGATACGGCGAGCACCTGCTCGCACTGGTTGAGCAGGTAGGCGACGAAGAATCGCCCGCTGGAGGGGTCGTACTGTGCGGCGGGCTTCGAGAAGAAGGCGAACTCCTCGAGCTCGCCGTTGACGTCCAGGGGGTACTTCCGGCCGTCGCCAGCAATCACAGGCAGAAAGAACTCACGCGGACGCTCAGCCGCAATCTGCCATGCCACATGCCATCCCTCCACTTGGTGTGTATGTGTATCGCTGTCCGGTCACCAGTTTGCCCGTGGTGGGGTGTTGCAGCACGAGTCCCGTGTTGGTGGCGGTGAGCAGCGTCTTGGGTCCGAGGGCGCCGGCGGGGTCGGCGGGATTGGCCAGTATGCCAAACATGCGAATGGAGTTCTCGAGATCTATCGTGTTCACCACTCGACGAGGTCTGGGAGAAGGGTCGGCTGCAGGGCGCACATGCATCAAGAGAGAGAGAGAGTGCACGGTTGATTGCCATCGCGGGCTTACGCATGACATTCTCCGTGCCGAATATGGGGATGACGCCGGATGACGATCTCTCGCGGCTTGCTCGCGTCCTGTTGCCCCGCTCGTCCTCTCTGTGCAGCCGTGTGCGGCCGTCGCCTCCGTCATCCTCCAACTCCAGGTTCAAGGACCTGACCGGAGAGAGCAAAGCAGAGGGCCCAATCAGACTTCTTCACAGGCTGCCTGATTGACTCACTCAGCCAATTTTGGCAAGTCCACTGGTTGACGCTTCCTCTCCTCTGTCGCGTCCTGCGGCACCCTCTTGACAGACGCGAAGTGAGCACCTGCACACAGGTGAGGTGAGCGAACGAACGGACGGGAGGAAGCGGCCATGCCTGCCTTCCTTGATCACTCGTGCAGTCAGGCGCCCTACCTTTTTGTGCTCGCACGACAAGCGATGCCGCAGAGCAGCACAGGAAGAAGGTCACGGCAGCCGCGGGGCAGACCCTCATATGTCAGTGCGATACACGCGGCGAGATCCCGTCCCGCCGAATTCGACTTCGCCTCGTCAATACGTCATCGGTGGCCCGATGGGGAGCGTTGATCTAAGCACCATGAAGAACGATGCCATGTAAACGTACGCCAACGGCCTGTAGGGTTTAGGGTTTGAAAAACCCCTTGCAAGCGAATCAATCATTCAAAAAAAGAGCGCAATTCGTCGGTCTAATGATACACAGAGAGGCATGGATGGAGCACACAAACACCCAACCAGGACAAATGCTGCATGCCTGCATGCTTTATGCAGACACGCATACACGGTCAGCGATTCACATGTCCATACATCCACACTCACACCCACCCCCTCCCCCTCTCCCCCTCCTCTCTGTCACTCACTGCGCTGATTCTGCCAGCAGCATCACGATGCTTTCCTCGACGTCGCCCGTTGCCATGAGTGCCTGCCGTGCCTCCCGTCTGCTGCACTGGGTGACTTCCATGATGTGGCTGATGGGGTCGTCAAGATGGCCGTCGTGGGGTGATGGGCCAGGGGGGGACGAGTGTGAGTGGGCGGGTCTGCTTCTACGGAGAGATGACGAGCTTCGCAACGAGTGAAACGGCTGCACACAGACATCACGGATATTGGCGCGAAGATCGACCACAGACGGCAGGCAGCCATGAGTGACTGTTGCGCCTGTTTTGTGCTCTCTGGGTTTCATACCAGTTGTTGTCTGGCGAGACCGGGTGCGTTGTAATGTGCGTTGAGCAGGGCCTCGAAAATGGGGTTGTCCACCTCCAGCATCGACGAGGAATGGCTGCGGTGCTCCTGGTCCGACGGGCGGCTCGACGACACGGCGACGTTGCCATTCTCAGCCTCACCTGAATGCATTCGCAACTGATTCTCCTCGGTTTCCTTGAGATAGGGAGAGTCCATACACACAAACACAAACACACACACACACACATTCTGCCCGAGTTGAGAGATGCCTCATCTGTGTGGTGTGTCTTACGGCGTCGTTCCTCAGGTTCCTCTTGCAGTTCGGACACGTGTGGTTGTTCTCACACCATTGATGGAGGCACTCGATGTGGAACAGGTGTCCACACCTCTGCACACGCTGCAGGCAGGTGGTGCTGGCCGAACGAAGATCCTCCTGACAAATAGAGCACAACTGAAGAGCAGGCAGGGGAGCGTCAGGAGTTGCAGTCGTTGGACAGTGATGCCTGTGTTGGCTGACCTCCTCCGGCTGAGCGCTGCTTGTCGCTACCTCGTGTGTGGGAGGCTCTCGGAGGAACTGCGTGCACATGCGCATCTCCCTGCCCACACCCACGCACCAACGACATGACGCGACGCTTCCTGTGCGTGTGTTGCCTGTGCTTGTGGCCATGGGATCTCCCTTACTTGAGTGTGAGCCCGTTTCTCTCTGTAAGCTCCGGTTCAGCTGATTGAGCCATGACGGCCTCGATCTCGTCATCTTCGATGTCCTCTTGCGGTCGAGGAGGCGGGATCCTAAACGTCCACATATCGCGGCGAGGGGCGAAGGGAATTCAAGTAGGAAAAAGGGTGACGATGGACTTTGGGGCAAACTCTTCCGTTAAACATGGAGAAGGTTTGTCAGTGATTGAATCCATGAATCACCCACCACCCACCACCCACCATCGATGCACCAATGATGGTGGATGGTGCAATGCGACCGTGCATTCAAAGTGTTTTCAGGTTTCGTGTCTGTCTGTCTGTTTGTCTGTCTGTCTGAGAATGTGGCTCGTCTCTGCTGTGGCCATGTCCTTTCATTCGTTCGCTCAGATGAGTGCCCCACAATCGTCGTCTGACATGTTTTCTTCTGACAGGTCCAGCCGCCAGAATGTGCCAACATCGTCGTAGGCGGACTTGAAGGAGTAGGAGGCCGTGCGCTGGGACATGCAACTGCCGCTGCCGATGATGGGTGCGTCGCTGTGCAGCCAAGACTCATGGAAGATGCTCAGGTCGCTCTTGGCCGCAAACATGGAAACGTCCGCCTGCACACAAATGAGTGACAGAGACAAATGAGTGACAGAGACTGTGTGTGTGTGTGCGTGTGTGTGTGTGTGTGTGCCTGAGTGTGTCAACTTGCTCCCCACGTGCATGACTCACGCACATTGGTCAGTTGTGTGTCGGCGGCTTTGCTCTGGCCTTGTTTTTGCACACACACCATGCCATGGATCAACGCATACACGCCTGTCTGGATGAGCGCGGAAGCGAACGCTTGAGGGCCTGAATGAAGAGAGAGAGGCACACAGAGAAGCGATGTGGCCTGGGGGGCTCATGTGGGTACCGAGGCGGCCGTCGGACACTCTCATCGCGTATGAGATGAGAATCCACACGAGCAGGGACACGTTGAGCCAATTGCAGGCACAGAACCACGTCAGCAGATTCACTCGACGCTTCTTGTCCTGCGCACACACACACACATAAATGGAGAGAGAGACATGTCTGCCTGGCATGTCTGTCGCCGTCCATCTTACACATGCGTCCACTCTGACGTAGCCGAACCCAGGACTGAAACAGACACGCACAGACGCACACAGACACAAGCAATCGAATGACCAGTGGATGTGTCCATCAATCATCCGGTGCTTCACACACTCACATGGCAGAAATCAGTCTCACGGCCGCACTGATGAGGTGCAAGCGGCGGATGGCGGACGTCGATGCCACGTTGGCAAGAGAGAGAAGCAGAGGTGCGGTCAGGAGGTTGAACAGACTCAGCAGCAGCACCAGCACTGCTGGGGAGCCACGGGCGGGCCTCTCGCTTGCAACACTTGCAGTGTACATCGTTGCACAGCGACCAAGCAGCACACTCACGAAAGTTTCAGGACATTGAATTGATGCGAAGATGTTTGTGTGTCAGCCGCATACATACACATGAACGAATAATCAGGCAGTCACATCGATCGATCCCATTGTTCGCATGCATTGACGTGCTGTCTGTCTCGCCTGTCTGTGTGTGTGGGTGGGTGGATGCATCCCTGGCACCCATGGCTTACGCAGATTCATCCACACGATACCTACACCACAGAGAGAAGGATACCACACGTACGCGTGTGTGCACAATTCACTCAAAAACTCACTCATCAATCGCTAGTCAACCACAAGGCAGCAGCAACTCAATCCCTTCTTCTCCACATCCTCAAGCTGGGATTTCTCGACAGCAGCACCGCCAGCCACATCCGGTTTCGGTGCCGCAGACGGATCACCTGCCTCTGCTGCGATTGGGGAGACGACTCAGCAAGCGTCGTTGCGTCCTGGGCATCAGGTCTCTTGCCGAGTATTTCACGATAGAGCTCCATGAAGACTTTGGCAGCGGCGCGGTACAGCAGGCTGTACTCGCGATGGCTCAGCTCGCAGAGAGCCAGGAACGACTGGTACGTCTTGTCAAAGGGCTGGAAGTGGCCCGGAAACGGACTCTTGTCGAACCTGCACGTACCCATCCCACACACACATATATATGAGCAGGGCCAAAGAGAAAAGAGGCGATTCCGAACCTGAACGCGCTGACAAAACCGAAGTACGCGGCCAGCAGGAATCGCCGCACACTGCTGAGGACACCCAGGACGAAGTTCACCAGAGTTGAGAACAGGAAAGCGATTGAGAAGGCGAGATGGCGGCTTGGCTCGCCGGTCGTGGGGTCCATCATGCAAGACCGATGGTGAAATAGATAACTGTATCGCATTCATCCGACAGACAGGAGAGATGCATGTGACGCGAACGTGTCTCTCCTTTCATCAGCTGCAAGCTGACCTGCGGGAGATTTCACGTGCGATTGGAATGGCAGCAAAGCCGATCGCCAGCAGTATGCCTGAGTCGATGACCCACGACCTCACTCGCGGAATGCAGAGGAAGAAAAGCACAAGAAACGTGAGAGAGCCAAACACAAGGATGACACCGTTGTACTGCATACAGAGGGGAGAGACACGACACAGGCAGACGGTTCACAAAGCGGCAATCGACATGTATGGATTCCTGCTTACTGCAATGAGAACAGTCCCAAAGAGCACGCCGGGAAAGCAGGAGGCGTCGAAATAGATGTGGGTCGCATGGAGCAGCAATGATGCAGATCGTTCGTGGCCTTCTGGAGCCTCCGGCGGAGGCCCCTCATCATCTCCCATTCTGTCCTTCCATTGCTGTATGGACCGCCTTCTGGCCTTCTGCATTGGCGCCGAGTCTCTGTGGTTTCTCGACAACGGCCGCTGCAGCAGGTCATGGAAGCAGAATCCGGTGCTCCGCCTGTCCATCATATCGAGGTAGGCCGCGTGGGTCCGCATGAGAAGGAAGGCGACGAAGATGAGCGCCACGAGTGCAATGACGTGGAGGCACCATCGGAGGATGCTCAAGTTGACCTGAAGCAGGTCCTTATCCAGTGTTGCATCGATATAGTCAAAGTTGACCACAGAGTTGACCCTGCCAAAGGCACGTCAAGGCACATCATACACGCATGCATCAGAGGATTGCGTGCATGTATGCGACAAGCAAGCTGACCACTCTGGCATGGCGCTCATAAGTAGGTAGGTGATAATCTTCTCATCAATGTCGACCCCGTCATCAATGAGTTTGGCGAAGAAATCAGACAGAAGGGCGGTGAAAAAGACTGGAAATGCTGAAAGGCGTGAAAGACAGAGCCTCTATGTGTCCCCACCTTTCATCTGATTGACGACAGGATCAATCGCTTGACCTGCCAAATACTTGAGGAGACTTTGGATGGGCACGCTTTGGTCATGCTTGAACAAGCCGAAGAATGCCGCTGATGAGAGAAGATCCCGCATTCTCCTCAAACTCAACAGCACCGCATACTGATTGGACCCCGACCGCATCCGCTGACCGAACCTCGTAAGGGATTGCTGTTGGTCGTCGATTTACCCATCATTCACATGGCAGAGACACACAAGTGGGGACACACAAAGGGGCATTCCCCTACCCATAGTGAGCCTTACGTGATACGGTATCCCTTGTTGCCAGACCCATGAGATCTCCGACAACGAAGCGCGTCTGTCGTAATCAGTTGACTACATCAATAGGAGACAGCAGCCTTTAGATGAATTTCGATTGTATGGTTTGGCGTGCGTGCGTGTGCATGTGTGCATGCCTGAAGGTAGAAGAAATCGACCAGCCTCGGGGAGAAGGGGTCAATGTATGTGATGTTTCTTGACCGCGGGCGCGGTACCTGGAGCAGCTCTTGTACATCTGGATTCCCTTCTCCCCACTCCCGCGACCTCACGGGCACCGTCGCGAATGTCGTTTGCGAGCATGTCTCCATCTCAGCGACGGCGGAAAGCCTGCCGATTTTCGTCCTAGCCGCTGGTCCCTTTGGGATTGGATCCTTGTCAGAATAGGTGGAGAGCATGTCGAGACACCGGTACACTGGGTGGCTTCTCAGAAACCAATCTAGTTTGTATTCTAGAGGGCTGGACGCACGCTTCTTCAAGTTGTGCGTGTCGGATTTCAGCCCCCCGGACTTCAAGCTGTAGGTCTCATAGAGGTGATCAAATAGGTGCCAGGCGGTTGCGGGAGATGTCGCAGCACTGAACGATAGAATTGTCGAAAGCGCCGCAGTCGATGGACGCATTCTCCCAGTAGTGCGCAAGAAGCGATAAAGAAGGGTCCCAATATGAGCTTCCACTGTTTCCTGCGAACCAGCAGGACAAACGATAACGTCCAAAATTATGGAGCCGCCGATAGGTATCTGGCCCGTATTGTACGCACCAAGAAGTCGGTTAGCCTCGAAACATCCATTCCGGGAAGGGAAACGAAATATGCGCTTCCTTTGTTTTTCTGGACGGGGTACGTCTCGTAGAGGGCATCTACAGCTTTCGACCACTGCTCTCGGAACTTGAATCGGAAGAACTGATAAGAATAACATTCAGATATACAAATCCTCACAAACACGTGACGCAAGTGGAAATGGCATGGACATGGCATGCGTCATCTCACGCTGCCACCCACTTACTTGTATCTGCAGCTCTGGTCTGCAATTGCAGTGAAAAGAATGAGAAGCACAATGCATGAAGCTGTCGTCGGCCAGTTTGGTTTGTATTTGTCTGCCTGTACTGCACATCTGCTTACACGTATTTGGAGTCGTGTGCCTTTCGTATAACGCTCAACCCCTGCTGTGTGGCATGCTCAATCGTCATAACGTAGCTCACGTGAGTGCGAATGAGGTATACCAGCGTTAAAAACATCAAGCCGATAAACATGGTGGACAGAAACAATCCACCTCATCGACTCGTCGTCCTTTCTCTCTGTAGAGCTGATGTCTCTGTCACGCTGTTGCCCCTATCCCCTGCAGGGTGCGACGCTCTGGAAGAAGAGGCCTCATTTGATGACCCCTCGCTAAGTGATGAAGCATGAGGCCGCTCTGGGGGCTCTGGATGGCAAGAAAATAAATAAGACAAAGGCACTTTGCGTTCTCTTTGCATTCACACCTGTGCGTTGAGCTTGAGCCAAGGCCATAGAAGTGGCAGGTAGATCACTTGTAGAGGATCGCCTTCGGTTGAGATACTGCTTTGCGTGTCTCAGGGCCTCCCGATTGAGTATGTTGTAGAACCAGCCTTTCGTCTTGGTCAGACCAACCTCAATAGACGTCCAAACAAGAAAGAAGGTCATAATGGGAATTGTCAGCAGAATGTTCTCGACCCACGGCTTCCGATCCGACTGGTGGAAGAAGGTTTTGTATGAACATTGCCATAACATAAGGCTACCAAGAAGAAGAAGAAGAGTAAGACTCCGCCATCTCGGCTGATGGATATTGTTGCCGAGGAAGAGTGGAGACGCTGCCAAAATGAGAGCAAAAAGCATCCCTCCTCGAATAACCTAGGGAGGCACAACACAGACGACATGACGTGCCCCTCCCCTCTCGTTTGTCCTCAAACTTCGGTGGTTTTTTGCATTGCTACGTACATTGGTGCTGAATCCGTTGCTTATCTTTTCCGGCTGGACCAGCATAATGACCTGCCGCATGACTTGCGAAAGCGCGACAATCCCAACCACAGTGACCGTTTGAAACTTGATCTGACTGATAGTACACAAACGGGACAATCTATAGAGTCGACAATAACATACACGCACGCATACATGGATGTGCATGTATACATACGGCGTGAGAAGATCGAGAAAGGTGCACGTAACCCAGTTCCACCGCCGTTCGTTCGCCAGCGGCACATCGTCAGAGGACCCAATTGACGTGTCATCGGCTCTTTTTTTGAGGCAACAGAAGCCCACTACACACGCAACGGCGAAACAATTGCGGCGACGAAATTCTCCCATTTGCCGTAGAGTGGAAACTTGTCCTACGCCATTTATAGACAGTGAAGGAAAGAGACAATTTCTCTCCCCTTCAAGCGAGGCAAGGTTGTTCGGTGGATGAGGAAGTCACCTGTGCTTGGCCTTCTTTGAAAATGATGTCCGTAACCTGTCGCCGTCTACCGCCATCAACCTTTGCGCGCAGACTTCTCGTCAAAACGCGAGTTATCTCAGTTTACTGTAGGCACACATACAGGTGTACACAGAGGGAAGAGACAAGGATGTGCTCATCTATGAATGACAACCCACCACATTCATTTATATTCTGACCTGTCTCCTTCGTATCTCCATTCGCTCTTTTTGGCGCTCATATATGTATATCGCCGACTCAAGAGTGGATCGAAGACGTTGATAAAGGGAATCAAAGGCCGCTATGACGTTACCGAAAGGAAAGATAAATACATTCTGTGCCACACACATAGAATACACCTGTATCAACTCCTCTATATCGATCTGCATTTCTCCAATAGATCTGTGACCACGCAAACAGCGCTCACGTCAAGAGAGAATAAAGCCGCTTCGCTGGCCAGGCCCTTGAGGCGGTTGATAGATAGAGTCTCCACGGTGGCCAGCATGCTTATCCTCTTTGGTGTTTTCTCACACTCTGGGGCACGGGATGAACAGGTATCGTTGCACATAGTCGCAGCTTTTAAGACGATCCAGTCAGAGCTTTCCAGGGGAAGCTCAGCCCGTCCACGCATCTGCGGATGCCCAAGAATGGGTTGTGCAACCCGTTCATTGACAGCGGCAGAAAAAAGCTGGCAGGACAAAACAAGACGTCAGTTTGGCATGATGGTTTATTCAATGACCTGCTCACTTTCTCACTTACATATTGCAGTGGTCTTTTCTGCTCTGACTTGTCATGGAGGATCTTGAAGAACAGCTTTTGGCTTCTGCTCTCAAAATGACCTCTGGATTTGTCGGCCTGGCGAATAGAGAAAGCAGCAAGCTCCGCTACGACCTGGTTTCCTTGCTTGATTGTCGTTGGGCCTGCTGCAACTCGTAGCTCTTCAATTCGCTTCACGTCATTGAGGTCAAGAATGCGCCTCTGATTCGCTGAGACGCGATTTCCCCTCTCTTTCGATGGAGTTTTAAGAACATTGATGTCGTGGGCAGCCTTGAGAAGCTTTCTTTTTGTCCTCGCATTCAGAATACGATTGAGGGTGCGAAGAAGTGATTTCAGCGATCGAACTGTAGGCACCTTCCAGATCTCGATATATCTTGTAAAAGGGTTGAAGAACAGGATGCTGCCGAAGAAATTGAAAGGATCCCGAAGACAATGGTGCTTGCTAAGCTCATGAAAGGTCTGGAACGCCGATTTGATAATCGGTGCATAATTGGCTTGTCCTTTCTTGGCCTCCTGACGAGCAAAGAATTCCTCACGAAATGACTCGGAATACATCAACGATCTGCCGCTGAGGCGAACGAGAAGGTCGGTTGAGGCGTAGACGTCCCTCATATCTTCATACACGATATCTGCCCGCAAGCTCAGCCTTACAGGTTGGAAGGTCTCGGGTGAGCGGACCCTGATGTAGAAATGTTGGAAGACAAAGCACTGCAGAGGCCGCAAGAGTCCTGCTGGACGAAGCATATATGTCAAACGCTTGCGACTCAGAGGGATTGTGTCATGCAGGAAGGCTTGGAGGCAACTGATGGTGTCATTATTAGAATAGACGTCAAACAGCTCCGGGCCATAATAGGGTAAAATATGGCCGGGGCCGATATCGAACTCCTCTTTCTGCAGACGTTCCACTGTCCTGTAGAGCTCTTCGAATTCCGTACGCGAAACACTGTTCTTTGCCATAAGCGGGGCGATAAACACGACGTCCTTATTGGAGTGACGGGATGTCTCGAAGTTCATCTGAGCAGCAAAACACACGGCAATGGGTGGGGCGTTCATACCGGCTCGCTCCCTCTATCTGTCCGTACCAGGTCCTCCACTGCGTTCACCTCTCGCAGTTGCTGCAGCGCTGCAGACACACACAGAGGGAGAACATGCATAGTCTTCTCCTCGGCGCGCCCCTATTTGTCGCCTACTTGTCTCCAGCTTTTGCAGCATCGACGCGGCATCATTCATGTCCACATTCTTCAGCGCCCCTCCCGTAGGCTTCATCTCCTTCAAATCACAGCACAAGAGCCATTGCCAGTGACAACATGCAATCAGCAGTGAATGGCTCGTACCTCGGCCTCCACATGTTCGGCGTGGCTCAGGGGCCGACGTTGATAGCCGTAGTAATAATCCAGGAACTCCTGCGAAGCAAGCCCACAAATCAACCATGGCGGACCCGTACGGGCTTCCTGCATCATCGCTCGCACCTGGAAGTTGGTTGTGCCGGGCCAAGGTGGTGGAATTGGGAGCGGAGAAGGCGGCGGAACCGGGCCCTGCATTGGCATCGAGGACGGCATTCCCTCTGCATCGAGTACGCACTGCCCAAGTAGTTGCTCAGCTGAGGAAGAACAAGGGAGGACGCCAGCTGCTCCCAGCCTCACTGCAAGGACCATGCAAAACGCCGCCAACAAATTGAAACGCATTTTTTGTCTTGCGGAAGGGGGCCCCCATCGCCCACAGGCCAGGATTCGGCCAGAACTCGAATCCACACTGTGGCAGCGAACTGGTACCAGCCACGTTGCGCGATGCTCATCTACTCATCCTCCCAGAGGGCCTTCTCCGAGTCGGTCAGACTCTGTCACCCGGCTGTCTGTGCCTCTCTACACAATGCCATGAGGCACCACTGATTTGCTCATCGATTCATGTATTGGCTAATTGTGGTGCGAGGGGCGGCAGCTTGTGAGAGCCCCTCCGGCCTCCCTTGTTCGGTGTGGCACTGATGGCGAGGTGGTGGGCGATGTTGAGGTCGGCCAGGTATGTAGGTGGGATGGCGTGTGTCCACTGGCCTGACTGGATGTACGCCCACACCAGGTCACGCTTCTGCTGCTCCTGCACACACACGCACACACACACGGCGACACAGATCTGATCCACCGTGTGCGGGTGATTGTGGTTGAGTGGCATGCACACATACCTGCGCGCACACGAGGTCATACATGGCCTGCATGTATCTGCACACATCACACCAATACGTAGAATGAACAGTCTGTCTGAGTGGCACTCATCCATCCATCCATCGTGTGCAATCGACAGAGGGCCAGACCTACCTCTCTTTGACTTCTTTGAGTTCGCTGAGCGTCTCCTCTGTGTCGTGCAGCTGCCGAAGGGACTCCTTCTTCTCCATGTTGACGCTATCGAACGCCCTCTCAGCCTGAATCACCTGCACACACACACACACACACACACGTGTGTGTCAACGTGTACACGCAACGGATGTCCGTTGTTACCTTTTGAAGGCACTGCATGATCATGCCCTGGTCGCCCTTCCTCTGCCCACCACTGCTGCCTCTGGTCCCGCGGGCCCCCCCGGCCGCCGACGGGCTGCTGACATCCCACATGCCGCCCGGCTTGAAGAGATTGCTCGACAGCGACCTCGAGATGTGGCTCACCCCCGTCCTCGCCAGCTCCGCCAGTGACAGCCGGCCCGTCACACTGACAGACGGCGAGGGAGCGTCGTGGTGGGCTGCCGTCCCTCCAGGGGACGACAGATGGTCCTCACCGGCAGACGAGTGGTCGGGGCTGATCGCCCTGTTCTGGCGGGCCACAGGCAGCGAGATGGCTGATGATGCGTGGGGCACGGTGGACTCGCCATTGCCGTCGTGGTCATGCGTCGTGTGCTGGTCGAACGCCGGCATTGGGAGCGTCTGGAAGGGCGGGGGCGATGGCAGCCGTGCCGCCAGCAGCTTCTCAGGACTCTTGGGCGGCCGGCCGCCTATGGCACGCTGCAGCGGGCCACCACTAATGCCGTCAGCCGAATCGCCGTCATCTTGTAGTTTGTTGTCGTTCATGGGCGTTGGGGGCGCCGAGAAGTTGGCCTGTTGGCGCGATAGAGATGATGGCGGTGTGAGTGGCGAGAGAGGCGGCCGGAAGGGGAAATCCACTGGGGGCCCTGAGCGGCCTGTGGCCGGTGGGGTGACGGGAATAGCCGCTGCGTGTGAGGGAGGGATGGAGGAGCTCGAATGAACCAGGGTCCTCAGTGTGGCCGACTGTGTGTGAACACACAGAGAGGCGGACAGGTGGGGAAATGGACAGGAGAAGCTTATCGCGAATAGTGGTGGCGCTTACGAGTGTCTGTTTCTGTTCCTTTGCCTCCAGCCACGCCGTCTCGATGTCTTTGGCACGCTGCTTGCACCGCTCGTAATCCCTGAGCAACACACACACGGATACACACCATACGATCGGCCCACCATTGCACAGTGTGTAATGGCTGCTCTCTCATGCGTCTGCGTGTACCTCTGCACAGCAGTGAATTGTTTCTCTGAGTGTGCGATTTTGTCCATCAGCGACTTGGTGTCCTGAGCCGTCTGCAAAACATAAATGCACACACATCAGCACACCCGAGAACGAACCTCCCCTCTCTGGCTTGATGCGTACCTGTCTCTCCATTCGGTGTATCATGAGCTTGAGTTTGATCATGCCCTCCATCTGCAGCACCTTGTACCGGCCCATCTCACTCCCGCCCACCAGCGTCACCAGAAACAGGCCGCTGGGGGCGCTCACATCGCCATTCTCCTCCTGCCATTGCATGGGCGGCGGCACAAACGCTATCAGCGAGTCGCGACGCAACTCCACTGCCGCCCCCCCGTGGCTCGTCGGCGACGTGCAGGCATCGTAATACAGGGGGACGGGCGCGCTCCCCCGCCTCACCAGACCGCCGCTCTTGCCGCCCGTTCTGCCCGCAATCAGTGCGCGGCGGATCTGCAGTCGCCTCGAGTAGCTGACCCCCTGCAGCGGGACGTCTCTGGTGACGGTGGTGCGCATGTCGACGAACATGATCTGGTGGGCCCTGACGACCACGCCGCGGAGGGGCTCCCCGCCGCCGTGGGGTCCGCTGCCGGCCGTCCAGGTGCGTGTGAGGTCCTCCATGAGTGTGGTGGGGTCCACTTGGGAGGACTCCTTGGAGTTGGGGGCGGGAAAATTGTCGTTCTCGGTGCGGGATGAGTTGGTGGGCAGGGGGACCGACTGGATCACACTCTGTGGACGAAGGGGGAAAACACGCAGAATGGATGGATGGATGGATGGATGGACGTCTTGGGGGGAGGGGGGGCTGAGTGTGTGTGAGACTGACCAGGAATTTGACGATTTGGTATTCCCTGCAGTAGTGTCGCAGCTGCGCGTTGGTGACCTTGTAGCTGGCCACGCTGGCCAGGAACTGGCGATAAGCCCCTCCCTCCTCCATCTCCACCGCACGCTTCGAGCTCTACACATACAAAAGCCAACACACACACACACAGACACACCCATACACACATTCCCGTGTTACGATACACAAACACATACCTGCACGATTCTGAGCATGCCCTCCACATCAAGTGCCAGGAGTGTCGGGCGCAGCGAGGCGAGCAGCGTGACGCCCACTTTAAAGAGCATCTTCCACCCCGCCACGAAGAACAGATCCCACACCAGACCCAATATGCTCGGCTCAAGGTAGTAAGCAAATATCGTCATGAACCACTGAACCAACGATGAAACGGGCCAAACACACAATGACGACACCGTGCCAGCATGCGTGTCTGTGTGCGAGGGGACGTGTGTGCGCACCTGGTGAGCGAAGAAGTCGACATTGAGCGAATTGCGGTGCAGGTGGTGCCACAGATCGGGCAGGTGATTCCTGAACAGCACACAAGCAAAGACACCAATCATCCCGCAACCCGGTCCGTCTGTCTGTCTGTGTGTGTGTGTGTGCGCACCTGACGATGTTTGAGAACTGGTAGAGCCTGCATGAGAGGAGGGGCACGCCTGGCGAGAAGATGAGGGCAAAGTCGAAGTGGCGCAGCACCGCCAGCGCCATCCAAAACGCAGATACGGGACACTCCAAGTGAATTAGCAGCCCTGATGCACACACCACACACACAGGGACGGTCAGACGGGAGGATGGGAATCGTTCCTGTGGTTGCTGTGTGCGGCGTGTGCGGTGTGTGTGGGGTGTGTGGTGGTGTACCGGCGACAAGAAAGTTCATTCCCTGGCAGTAGCCCACAGTTGGGTCGAGGGCCACCAACGCGTGCAGCACAGAATACAGCCACAACTGACCCTCGCTGTCGCGACTACGAAACCTGAAACACATACGCGACCACATGCATACAAACTTCCATTTGTGTGCCTGCCTCTTTGTGTGTATGCGTGTGTGACCTAGGGTGCGTCGGGAATGTCCTGGAGACATCTCTGCGTATCTCGTCCGAGCGACTATCGTCCAGCGGCACGCCCGCCAAATACTCATACAAATGGTCTCCCAGCGACCCCCCGTCGCCCCCTCTGCCGCGTGAGGGCGACGTGCTGCTGCCGCCGTTCATGACGAGCGACCCGAGGCCAAACAGAGAAGGGCCCTTGGAGAGAGTGGGGCGGGCGGGATGGGTACTGGTGTTGGAAGGTGAGCCGAGCATGTCGGTCATGTGCAGCTCTTTGGCGACCTGCCGCTGTAGCGATGGCACGTCCGCACAATACAGCAACCAGAACCTGACACACAGCGCACACACACACAGGCAGGCAGACATTCCATTCATCAGGGATGCACAGAAGCAAAAGAATATGGGAAAGGTCTGTCTGTCTGTCTGTCTCGTGTGTACTGCACCTACCTCTTTCTCTGTGAGGGCAGGACGCCGCCCTTCAAGACACACTTCTTGACCCACCGCTGGGCGTACATCAGCCGCCGCATGTTCCAACACACACCGCCCATCCGCCCGACGCCACACACGTCCAGGTACTCGCACACGATGCGAGTCAGCATCTCATTCGGCAGACCACCGACCACAATGGGCGTCAGGGGTGCGGCCTCCCCGCTGGCGCCCGGCAGCTCCACCGACGCCCGTCTGCTCTCCACCAGGATCGACTCGGACGTCATGGCCCGTCTGGACCCGGACTCGAGCGACGATCGGCCAGAGAAGCTCTCCCCGCCTCTCCAGAGAGTGCGTGTCTGCTCGGCAGTCTGGGTGTCGTTGAGAGGGCTGGCGAGTGGTGTGTCGGTGTGGGGAGGGGTCTCGTCAGGCAGTTGATCACGTCTGACGGTGGGGGGAAGAGGCGGGGCGATAGGCATGATGGGCAGCGGGTAGAGTGGCGCGTCGTAGTCCTCAGCTGGGTGGTCCATCTCCCTCTTGCCCTTGCCGTGCCTGCCTCTGCTGCCCCGCCCCACACCACTCTGACCACCCGAGGTGCTGCCGCCATCCTGCCCGCTGTCACCGCTGGACACCGACACATTGCTGGCCGGAACCAGCCTGGGGTTGAAGCTCCAGTCCTCACTGGCGGCCGATGGCTCCAGCTGCGGCACCTGGACACACATCTGGAAGGGTGGCGGGGCTATGTTGACATTCGACTGGGACCCCCTGCGAGACTTCTCTTGTTTGCTCCTCCCCGCCTGTGGCCGATGGACGCCGGTCGGCAGGGGCGGCAGGGACGGCTCGACGGAGGGGGAGGGCGGCTTGCGGCTCCAACTCATGACGCACACAGCGCCCTATGGACGGACGGTCAGCACACCTGACAAGCAGAGGCAACGTGATCTTTGCGGTCTGCCTGATCTGCTGATGTAGCTGCTGCTGCTCGTGTGTGTCGCCTGCTTTTCTTTCGTACCTGCTGAAGGAAGTGTGTTGGTCAGCTGCTGAAACAGCTTGAGAGTCGGCTTTTGCTGCTGATCTAGGCTTCGTCTTCAGCAGGAAACTCACGGCATCGCTACAGTTTCCTGCTTCCACAAGCTCGCAAAATTTGAGCTCGCAATCAGAAAGGGGAAAAGGGGATCCCGACAGATGCGTGAGGCGTGTATTGCTCCGTGAGGCCCCGAGGAATCAGTCTCATCCATAGCTTCTGCACGACGATGGATGGCAATGCCACTCAGGTGAGAGAACGAGCAGCCTCCAGGCCAAGCAGCACGTGAATGATAGAATCATATCATGAGTCATCGTGTGTGCTGTCTGTCTGCCTGTGATTGTGTTGTCATTCGGTCTGGTGCAGATGAGTGAAATGGCAACGAGGGATCAGCTGCTCAAACAGATTCAGACCTATCAGACCAATCAGACGAGGGTATCTGACCGACACACTCACTCAGTCACTCATTCAGTGCATCCGTCGCTCATCGGTTGCTTTGTGTTGTTTGTGTGTGCTGCGGTGTGCAGGTCAACAATGGCATCGGCCGACTCACTCAAATGGACGCCGCTGCGATCGCACCACTGGTGCGGCCAGACTGGCACACAATGACAACCGCACACAACAACACAAAGGCCTCTGTGTCATGGTGCTCTCGTCTGCTTCACGTCATTCGTCAGATGGTGGATAAGGTGAGTCGTCAATTTGCTGCTGTGTCCGAGCTGCTGGCCGAGTTGGCAGAGACCATCAACTCGACCATCGCACTCACAAGACATCGCTGCACACAGGTGAGTGGGGGAGTGACCACAGGCTGACACAAACACAAGCCCCACACTGATGTGGTGTGCACCTCTTATGTGTGTGTTGTATGCATGTCCTTCTGTCTGTGTGTCATCACGCCCAACGGTTGCACATCTCTGACATTCCCGCCAACCCCATGAGCGTCATCCTGTCACTGTCTGCCCTCACCACTATCGCCCACCTCAAGTCAACAGCCCGACCCATCAGAAACGCCCTGCGGCCCATCGTCCGCAATATTCGGCTGCCGAAGGCCATCGAGGTGGCGGGGGTGGGCGGTGTGGTGCAGTTCGACGATCAGCTGAGCCACGGCGATGTGATGAAGGCCATGTGGGTGGTGGAGGAGGGGGCGAGGGCGGCTGGAAGGAGGTGGCCGACACACTCAGATTCGCCGAGCGGTGCGGCTGCTGCCAGCTGCCGGTCACTGTGGGCGCCGGAGATCTGCAGACACACCCCACCAAGGCGGTAAGCACCACACACAGAAGAGGCAATGGGTGAGCTGCTGGAAGTGTGTGTGTGTGTGGTCTTCATTCAGGACTTCTTGTCGCTGCCCCGTTTCTGTGCCCATTGCATGCTCGTCGGCCGCCGTGTGGCCCTCCGCCGCCCCAACGGCCAGCATGACGGCACACTCCAGCTGTTCCGCCATAACCATGAGATTCGCGCCATCCGCAACGAGCCCAACTTTGCCATCACCATCAACCCGCCCCTCCCCCGGCCCGACCGCCCCGTCCATCCCTTCTCGCGCCACCCCTTCCAGCAGCACACCAAGCCCCACGACCCGCCTGTCCACAGCCGCATTACGTGGCAGAATGGTGTGGGCTGGGCGACGGTCGGTGTCAACGGTGGCGCCGTCTTCGCATCGGCGAGCTGCCTGCTGAAGGAGCTGCTCCAGTGTCATCGGATTGAGGCTGCTGGCCCCTTCACCGACTCGCCAATGGTGGTGGTTGACCGGTGAGTGGATGGACGGCACACAATGAGAGGGTTAATGGCCATGTGGTGTGTGTGTCAGTCGTGTACGTGGAGGCCATCTCGACCGCATCATGACTCGATCGCCACACACACCCGTCAACGGATGCTCGGACATGCTGACATGGGAGGCGGCTAATGGGCTGTGTGTGCAGCTGCACGTGCTGACAACGGCCGCCGATCCGTTCATCGCATGGATTAGCTTTGGCATCTTCCCAGGCAACAGCCAGGACGGTACGCATACACATTCACAGCACATCCTCATGCTGTCGCCTGATTATGCGCTCCTCTCTTGTGTGCGTGCAGTACACCTCTTTATCGCCACCACCGAGGCGCCAGCAGCAGGTGTCCCCCATGATGCCCCCTTCGCCCAGCGATTCCCTCGGACGGCCGCCAAGGTGCGTCGCGTCCTCGGCCCCATCGCCGCCATCGTGCTCGACGGCCAGGCGCCTTAGACCATGAAGGTGAGAGCCACACAGATCATGATGGCATGACGATGCGCGTCTATAGTCATGTGTCTTTATATGTGTAGATGGATCGTGTGCAGGCGCGCTGGCAGGCTACGCGTGTTGAAGGAGGGCCGTATGAGGTGGCTGTAGCGCGTGCAAATGAGTGCGCGTGGTGGACGAAACTTCGAGACTTCTTATTTGACATGCAAGGTGTGTCGTCGCCCGCTCTATGTTTTGCACCTCGCCACACACCCCACACACACCCCACACGAGACACACCACCAAGGACACACGGAGGTGAGCGCCTCACTGATGCACGAGGGACTAGCTACTGCTGGCTGGGGTGGTGCTGGTGGTGTGTGAATGTCTGTTGGCTGGATTTGAACGTCCATCTGTGCATATGGACGCACACCTCTATGTGGCCGGCTGCTTCTCTGACGCATCCATGTGTGAGTCCATCACCTCTCTGCTCGAACGTAAATAGTTGCGAATAGAGGAAAATCGCCACACACACGAGCTGAGGAGCGAAGAGGATGTAGAAGAGCGACGACAGAGGCGTGCAGAGCCCGTTGAAGCCACAGAAGAGCACTCCGATTCATAGCTTTTGCTGCTTGGTCGCACGATGGCTGCCACCCAGGTGAGAAGAGGGAGCTGCAGGCCAGGCAAATCCCTACATCATTGACGTGAATCACTTGTGCTGTCTGTGTGGTTTGTCATTCGGTTTGGTGCAGATGGGCGCAGCGATAGGGGGGCAGCTGCTGCCTCAGGTAGAAGGCTATCGGCTGAAGCAGGCTCAGGTATCAGCTGACCAACACACATACCAACTCGTCCATTCCATGCAGTGCATCCAAAGCTCATCGGCTGCTTGCGTGTGTGTGTGTGTGTGTGTGCAGGTCAACAGCTGCATCGACCAACTTCTGCAGATGGACACCGCCGCTTCGATCACACCACTGGTGCGGCAGGCTGCCAAACACACCACACAGCACAAAGCCCTCTGTTTCATGGTGCTTTCGTCGTGTTGATTCATTCGTCAGATGGTGGATAAGGTGAGTCGTCAACTTGCTGCTGTGTCCGACCTGCTGGCCGAGTTGACAGACACCATCAACTCGACCATCGCACTCACAAGACACGGCCGCACACAGGTCAGCAAGAGAGTGACCACAGGCAGGCACAAAAACAAGACCCACACTGATGTGGTGTGCACGGCGTGTGTGTGCATGTCCTTCTGTCTGTGTGTCATCAGCCGCGACGGTTGCACCTGAGTAACATCCCCGCCGGCCCCATGAGCAACATCACCGAACTGTCTGACCTCACCACCCTCACCAGCTTCAAGTCGACAGCCCGCCCCATCAGAAATGCCCTGCGGCCCATCATCCGCCGTATTCGGCTGCCGAAGGCCATCGAATGTGCGGGGGTGGGCGGTGTGGTGCAGTTCGACGATCAGCTGAGCCACGGCGATGTGATGAAGGCCATGTGGCTGGTGGAGGAGGGGGGCGAGGGCGGCTGGGGGGAGGTGGCCGACACACTCAGAGTCGGTGACCAGTGCGGCTATTGCCAGCTGCCCGTCACTGTGAGTGCTGCAGACCTGCAGACACACGCCACCAAGGCGGTAAACACGAAACACAGAAGAGGCAATGGGTGAGCTGCTGGATGTGTGTGTGTGGTCTTCATTCAGGACTTCTTGTCACTGCCCCGTTTCTGTGCGCAGTGGATGGTCGTCGGCCGCCGTGTGGCCCTCCGTCGCCCCAACGGCCAGCAAGACGGCAGACTACAGCTGTTCTACCACAACAACGAGATCCGGATCATCCTCCGCAACGAGCCCGGCTTCGTCATCACTCTCACCCCGCCCCTCCCCCTCCCCAACCGCCCCGTTCATCCCTTCTCGCAGCACCCCTTCGCCCACCACGCCAAGCCACACGACCCGCCCGTCCGCAGCCGCATTGGGTGGCAGGATGGTGTGGGGTGGGTGACAGTTGGCGCCAAAAACGCGGCTGTCTACGCATCGGCGAGTTCCCAGCTGAAGGGGCTGCTCCTGTATAACCGGATGGAGGCTGTGGGCGGCTTCACCTAGGCGCCAGCAGTGGTGGTGGACCGGTGAGTGGATGGACGGCGAGGGCGAATGGCCATATGGTGCGTTATTGATGTGTGTGTCAGGAGTGTGCGTGACGGCCACCTCGACCGCATCATGACCCAATCGCCGCACACGCCCCTCAACGGATGCTCGGACGTGATGACATGGGAGGCGGCTAATGGGCGGTGTGGGCAGTCGCACGTGTTGACGACGTCGGACGACCCATTCATCGCATGGATTTTCTTCAGCATTCAACCAGACAACAACAATCAGGACGGTACGCACATTCTCATGCTGTCGTCTGATTATTCGCTCCTCTCTTGTGTGCGTGCAGTACACATCTTTATCACCACCTTCGAAGCGCCAGCAGCAGGTGTCCCTCAGAACGCGCCCTTCGCCCAGCGATTCCCCCTGACGGCCGCCAAGGTGCGTCGCGTCCTCGGGCCCATCGCAGCCATCGTGCTCGATGGCCAAGCGCCTTAGGTACAGGGTGGGAACCACCCAGATGATGCAGAGGGTACCTGATCTATGTGTGCATTGTGTGGGTGTTGGGGTGTGTCCTGCAGGCTGGCTGGCGTCAAGGAACGCCACAGAAGGAGCTGACTGTCTGGCGGGCGTGAAGGCGGGCTGCGTGTCTGTCTGGTGGTGTGTGCATCTCATATCTGCTGCTGCATGATGGACTCATCCGGGGACGTCTAGTGTGCGGACAGACAGACAAACAGACAGACAGGTGCGGTGCGGTGAGGTGCGTGGCTGGCTCGAGGGATGGCACGAGTACTGGTGTGGGAATGTCTATTAGCTGGATTTGGACGTCCATCTGTGCATATGGACGCACACCTCTATGTGGCCGGCTGATTCTCTGACGCATCCATGTGTGAGTCCATCACCTCTCTGCTCAAACGTGAATAGTTGCGAATAGAGGAAAATCGCCGCACACATGAGCTGAGGTCTCTCACAACGGCACAAAAATCGAAAGCCACGTCTCGCACGACCCATCGAGCGCACGCATCGCACTGAGGGGGTCATTAGAGCTTGGCATAGGTCGCGTCGCCGATCGGTGGCAGCTCGCCGATGGACAAATAGCTCGTCAAGTCCTCCTCAGCAGCCAAATACGCAGTCTGACACACATCGACACACCCAGTACAAAGTGAGAACGATCAAATGCGACACACACGGAAGGCGAGTGCCGTCCTGTGGTCCCCTACCCACCTTGAGTGCCTCTTTGTCTTTGGCCTTGACGGCGCTTCTCATCTCGTCGACGTGTTTGGTGAACTCGTCGGCCGCACCCTTGGCGCCCAGGCTCTTCTTGTCCAGGTACTCACCCTGACAAACACACGGAGGGGCAGGGATGCCATTGACCCACCGCAAAAAGTGTCTGCGAGTGCGCCAAGCCTGCCTTTTTGAGGGCACCAGTGGCATACAGATCGAGAGCCGCCACCATGTCCGGTGCCCGGGAGGTCAGAAACGTGCTCACGCCATCAAAACTGACACACACAAAGGGGAACAGACAACAAGTGGATGCAGTGCCATCGTCTAGGGCGTGTGTATCTGCTGGCCACCTTACCCTCCGCCGTTGACTTCGCCTTTGAGTGAGGCGAATTCGCTGATGCCCCGGTTGATCCGCGGCAGATAGCGCTTCTTGGCCGTCGCAATGCTCGAGTAGCGACCAGTGCTGCAGACGCCACCGACACAGATGAGAGAGAGCCCCTGTGGTTCGGTCAGAGATGAAGGCACCGACCTGTCTGCTACTGCAGGGAGCGATGCGGCGGTCAGCACTGCTGGTGCGATGAGCAGCGTGCCGATATGGACACGCCGTGATGATGAACTCATCGCATCTTCCACCAGCACATGTGCCTGCACACAGTGTCATCCACATGGAAAAGCAGTGATAGATGTGATGACATCCTTTCGCTGCCTGTTTGCTTCAGTCGTGCTGACCTCTCGGCGTTCTTGCAGTCGCGATGCGCCGTTGCCTCGGCGAAGAGTTGTTCTGGATCTGGCATCAGGAACTGGCGCAAATGCCAGAGCCGCCACAGGCCAGCACCACAGACCTGTCACAACAGCGCTGAGCTTCATTCTTACACGGGCTTCTGCGAGCTCACATGCAAACGGGGGGCGTGGGGGCTCTGGCTTCCGTCCTCGAGACGTTCAGTGGCTTTCTCATGCTTTCTCTCAGTTGGTGATCATCACCTTTCGTCCGTGACTTCGTTTCCTTCGTCCGTTCACCATGGCGCGTTCCCCCAAGAAGCGGTTCAACTTCGTGGATCTGTTCGAGGAGGCCGCTGCCCACAAACCCCTCAATGCGGACTACACACAGCAGCTCCAGGCACAACTGGCCCACCGCCGGGCCAGCGACCCCTCCGCCATCGACACAGCCACGCGCATCCTTGCCGGCCTGCCGCTAGAGAGGCGTCGAAGCAGAAGCCGCCTTGGGGAAGAGGCTGAGCTCGAGGGGAGTGGGATGAGAAGCCGCCAGTCGAGCCGGTCCAGCATGGATGAGGGCTCCCCTCGGTTTGTGCCCCGCTTCGCACCTCTCCCCTCCCTGCCGGAGCATGCACCATACGGGCAGCTGCCCGCCTCGACAGACGACCGGCCAGACCGTCACATTGTCCTCAAGCCCTCTGCGGTCCACCCAGACTCATCTGTGCCACTTCCCAGGCCCCTGGCCGGCCGTCGATGGTCCGCTCCCTCGCCCGGTGACATCACGGCCTACCGGCAGCAGCCGCATCAGCCGATGCTCAGCAACCTGGGGACATTTTTCACTCGAATGGGGTCGGCGCAGATGAGGAACGGCAAGAGTAAGGAGACGAAGTACACGGTGTTTGCGTATCGGCTGCTGGCTGGTGCGAATGCTGGTGCTGGTGGTCGCCGGGGCGAGGGCGGCAGGAAGGGCAAGGGTGCCGGTGGTGTTGGTGGGGGTGGTTCTGAGGAGAGGTTTGAGGTGGACCGAAGCCTGCAGGTCTTCACGGCTGTCGAGAAGGGAGATATCCATGCAACTCCTCAGTACACCCTGTCACTCATGGAATTTCTGGGCTTTCAATGGGTCAGAGAGAGACGAAAGAAGAAAGAAACTGGTTGATCACATGTCTCCACTGTGTCCCCTCCCTGCAGGTAGCTCTCCGTTTTAAATCCCCGAACGATCGAGCCAACAATCGTCTGGCCTTCGATCATGTGGTGGTGCGGGCGGCAAATCACCCCAACAGCACTACCGTGGTCATCAAGACGACTACCGAGCCTCACATCACATGGGCGTGCGCAGTGGTCAGTGTATGTGCGAGGCACAAACGAATATGGGAAAAAGTTTCCCCCCCTCTCTCTTTTTCCGCCATCTGATTCTGCAGCTGCCCCAGGGCACGTCAGTAGAGCTTTTGCAGTCAAGTACACAGGAGCTGATGGCCTCGTCGGCCAACGTCAAGTCGCCAGAGGAGCTCAAGGCCCAGGGCAGGGATGCCCTCCCATGGCTGGACATGCCCCTCTACCTACCCAAGAGCCAGCAGTACCTCAGAACACTCAGCTCAGGCGCATCTATGGAGGCCGACGAAAGGGAATCCGGTATGCAACCAGACACATAGAAGGCCAGCCAGCCCTCCGCCCATGTCTATCTCGTTCTCTCCAGCGCCTTCCCCCGCCGCCCCTTCCCACGAGTCTCTGCCTGACCGTCTATCGTCTTTGCCGGATTGGCTGTTCGGAAGGGGGCCATACGAGCTACTCCACCAATGGAGAAAATTCACCCTCGGCACCAAGGAGGCCGAGGCCCGCAGGAAACGCGAGGACCAAGAGCTGGAGCACAAGCGGGAGCAGCTGGCGAGACGGATTGAGACACTGAAGGCGAGAAAGGCGGCGGCTAAGGTGCGCAGACGGGTGCGTGGGCAGAGGGGCAAAGGAGAAGTGGAGGAAGGCGATCCCAAGGCCGTGAGGCGGAACACTTTCGAAGGACTGATGCACTCACGGTGAGCTAGGGCGACATCATTCACCAGCCCACTTCCACTCACCTATTGTGTCTCGTGTCAGTTCTACGAACATCGGTAGCGACCTGCTGGTCCAGGGTTCGGCTTCAAAGGAGGCGATAGCGTGGGGCAGCCTGCCCCCCACACCCCTGCGGCTGATGCGGTCGTACACAGCGCCACACGGCAGAGACATGACCGACGGCGACGCTTGGATAAGACAGGCCAACAAGGTGAGTGTGCCTCATGGCGAGATGTGATGTGTGTGTCTCGCGATTGCGTGTTGCCCCATGTCTCTCTGTCAGGCGTTTGCTCCCAACACGCATCCTGAGTTGGCGCGTGAGCGGGAGAAGGCAGCCGAGTGGATGGTGCTCGATGTGTCTTAAGGGAGGGAGGGAGAGAGGGAGGGAGGGAAGGGCGCATGAAGGTGGGCCCGTGTGATTGTGTGTTGCTCACTTTCCTCGTACGTGTATGCATGTCTTTCGTGTATATACAGTGGGTAGTACGTGTTCTTGACAGACGTGTATTTTTGAGAGGCGATTGATGCATGCATGAATGCGCCCGTGCTCATTCATAGTCGCGGACGTGTGGGTGTATGCACATTAAAACCATCGATTTGTTCTGTTGTTCGATTTGTTCGTATGTCTTCCCCTATCAAAGCAAAGCGAGCCCACTTCACTTCCGTACGCATGTACTCTCCTTCTAATCGAACACATGCAGCTAGCAGAAAAATTCTGACTTCCTTCCCTGCCTGTCTTGCCTCCAACGCCTCCGTTTCCCAAGTGTCGGAACAGACATTGGGAACGGCAATGTCTGTTCGCTGTCAGGTACGGTGTGTTCATTGAACGACGGCGACTGACCTCTTCGTAGGTCATTGTCCACCGACCGAAAACCATCTGCTCGTCGCCCCTCACCCTCGCCCTCCCTCCCGATTGCCGGCGAGCATAATCCTGAGGCCCCAGAATCTGTAGCACTCATTAGCGGCGATTCAGCCTGCCGACTCCAGTGGCGAGCAAGCACGATGTGCGGTAGTCGAGAGTGCTAGATCCGAGGCCGCATCGACTCGGGGGCGAGACTGGCGGGAATGTAGCGCTCTGACCGCGGGACTCATGATGTAGAAACTCAGCGATCGAATTCTCGACGAGACGAGGTGCTTTGTTCCGACAGAAAAAAAACAAACAAACAAACAACAAACAAAAACAAAACCACCGCTGCTCACAAGTCCCTATCGGCGCGTTCCCACGGCAGCAACAGACGAGAGCTCTGTCCAGTGTGGGCATCAATGAGCGTGGTCACAGAATGACGGTCCGTTCCACTGATGCACCATTCTCGGGAAAGAGTGTTCGTGTCTTGGTGTGTTGGCTCTTGTCATTGCCTGCAGGGATGGTGCTCCTCGAGCTCAAGACCGGCGCCACAACGAGATACAGGTCTGCCTCCAACACACACGCACACACACACACACACACGACTGGCACACACACGGCTGGTGTGCGTTGTCCATCAGGCCATCCTCAACTACATTTGTGACCCCACGTGGCCCATGAACGCGATCAACCACTGTATATGGCGCGGCAGCGGTGTGCGGACGTGCAGATGGAGCCCGGCCTGGCGGGCCTGATCTGCAAGATGATCGCTCGCGACCCGGCCAATGCGTGTTGCTGCCACACCCATGTTGTGAACGCAATGTCAATGTAGGTGTTCTACAGTACGGATTCGTTCGCTGGGGGGTACTGGATGTATGACAAGTACCTCGACGAAGTGCCGGTGGGCGAGTGGCCGAGGCTGTCGTACTTCTTCACCCCCCCCTCGCCCCCCTACGGCCAGCCGCTGCCCCCGGCTGCCCCTGCCGAGCGCCGCACCCCCCTGCACGTCGGTCAGGACATCGCCAACATGTTCAGACAGTCGAGGGCTCAGAACAACCAGCAGGTGAGGGTGATAGATGCCGTCCATCCTCCAAAAAGCACAGGAGCAGGTGCAGAAACACTTACATACGACACGCTGGCTGCCATGGCCAATACCTTTATATTCCATTTAGACGGCGGCCGGTGCGGATGAGGATGTGAATGGCGCAGCTGACAAGGAGGGCGAGAACGAAGGTGCCGACATTGACGAGGTGCGTCGCTTAGCCGGGAGCTGCCAGTGTGCATACACATCTGTTCGCATCCTATTGGCTGGTTTCTTTGTGTAATCAGGGCAGCGCCGGTCGCAAAGTGGTACTTAACGGCTCTGCATGCGCGCAAGAGGATGCACAAAACGATTGGCAGTTTTCATGTTCTCCAGCAGCCGAAGTACAAGAGGCAGTGTGCTCGTCGTCAGGAGCTCAAGCAAGTGCGAGAGGCCGAGCGCATGCTGAGGAGCATGGTTTGTGAAGACACACAGGCATCTGCAACACATATACATCGGCGCCCTGAGCGAGACCCTATGGGCTACTACGCCCTGCTGGGGGTCAGCCAAGACGCCACTTTAGATGAGATCAAGAAGGCGCGCGACAACATCCTGCTGGTGAGTGAGTGGCTGACACCCGCATGACACAAGCATGAGGGCTAGAAGATGGTAGCCAGGGGAGACAGACACCGCTGCAATGCCGATCGATTCGTGCGTGCATCAGTCATGCAACCATCTCATCTGTCTGTCTGTCTGTCTGTCTGCATGTCCGTTTGCCTATCTGTCTGTCTGTGTCGTGTGTGCTGAAGCACGGCGGCCACCTCGACAAGGCCGTAGCGGCCACCAACAAGGCCAACAGCACCCGCCTGGCCCAGACCGTCAACGAGGCATTCGAAACGCTGGGCAACCCGGAGAAGCGGCGCGTATACGACTTGCCCTACGTGAGCCCTTATCTCATCGCACCCAGTCAGGCGCTGCGCTGCATTCTGTGTTTCTGGCTCTGTGCGTGGGGGGTGGGGGGCGCAGGGCATCGAGGTGATACGGCCTGAGCCACCCCCCGAGGTGCGGGACTTCGCCACGTGGAGGGCGAGACAAGAATGGGTGAGTGAATGCATGTCTGAGTGGAAGGCCGAGAGAGAGGGATGCAGACATACGTGCCGACACGACACACACAGACAGACACTTAGCCTGCTGGAAGCTGTTTGAGAGACTGCGCCTGACAATCCTTCTGTCTCTGTGTGTGAGTGTGTGCAGGAGCGAAAGGAGCGGGAAAGGGACGGGCTGCCGCCGAAGACCTTTGAGGGCTTGCTGGGCTTTAGTTTCAAACCGGGGCGGGTGAGTGCGTCGCGCACACACAGATGAAATAAAGGAGGAAGGCATACACATGATCCAACATACATATGTTCCCTCCTCCTGTCTGTCTGTTTGTCTGTCTCTCTCTCTCTCCCCTCTGACTGCAGTGGAACCCCACTTTTCGGGACTTGTGCCCAGATGCGCCACGTCTACACCACCCTCCCACACACGCACCACCAGCCCGTCACGCCCCCAGCCCACCCAACCCGCCACACCTACAGCAACAGGACAAGAAATACCCCCGCTTCTTTCCAGTGTGTGTGGCGGGGGACGGCGAGGACGGCTGGTGTACGACAACGCCTTCACCGGCGAGGCCGAGTACTGGCGGCAGCAGGAGGACGGCGTGTGGGTGGTGCACAGTGGCCAGGAGGGCCCCTTCTGGCGGATGGCCGCATGCATGGCCTGCTGTCGAGTGGCGTGTCTCGAGGAGGGGCGGTGTGTCATCGACAAGACCAAGCAGACGATCGACTGCGTGGTGGATTGCGTGAGGGGGCTGGTGGAGGAGGGTTGAGTGGGGAGGGAGGGTGAGGGGCTGTATTGTGTCTGCTGTGGTGGTTTTCGGCCGTCCAGGAGGCGCGTGGCGTGTCTGATTGATGCGGCTGGTGAACTCTGGACGGTCCAGCCACTGAGGTGATGGATTACTCGACGGCTGGCTGGCCTTCTGATGGGCGCGTGTGCAGCCGATGTCGCTGCGTGAATGTCGGTGGGTGGATGGAGGGGTGGAGGGGGCATTTATCACTGTCTACATTTTATATCTGTCATGTCGGTTTTCCCTTTGTGTACCCGTGTGCGAACGTGTCTGAGCTGCCAAGTCCCTGTTTGCTCGTGTATTCATCACTGGTTCACCACATGCAGCTCAAGAGATTTGCAACACTCACAAAGATGGTGTCTCAGATGCACAAATACTTCCATAGTCACCAGGATGCACCCGGCCTGTCTGTGCCATCGACCTACTCGCCACACTGCAAGTGCCATACACACGCGAATTCTCTTGCCATCGAGCACTGCAAAAGACGCATCAGCCGCCAAAAAACATCGATCAACCGCACACAGCGATCAGCAGCTAAGCAGACAAACCCTTGGTATGCGCAGCACAAGACAAGACCTTCCTCTGCGCACCTATCTAAGCAGTTTTTTGTGGACCACTGCCACTGTACGAGGGAAGCGCTGGGCCGCCGGGCGACAATGGCGGGTGACAGGAGGCTCCGTCGTGATGATCCAGCGGATAACGATGTCAGCCGCCGCAGTAACCTGCGCCACAGGGAGGAAGATGTCATAGGAGACGGCGAATTCGTCACCAGCTTTGTCCCCACAGAGGATCAGGATCGTCTCGTGAGCAGTTGGTGTGCCGCCACATTTGTCGGCCCTGCGGCAGCCCTCCCAGACGGGCCCCCGGCTGGCCGCGATTTGTCGGTCTGCCGACTGCAGCTGCTGGTCGTTTCCATGCACGATTTCGGACGCGATGATAATTCGTGGGCGCTCGTCGAAGGCGCCGTCGTGAGAGCGAGCCGTCCGCGAGGCAATATGAATGATGAGGTCCGTGAAGGAAGGGTAGATGTTGTGATCCCCTGATGACCGGTAGACACAAACACACACATGCCGGCCTATCCATGCCGCCCGGTGCCCTTTTCTTCACCGCGACTCACATTTGGTGGGCGGGTCGGATGCATTGAACTCATCGATTTTGAAGGGCAGCGTGTCGGGCACCGTACTGGGCGTCAGGAAGGTCAGGAGCTGTCCATCCAAATGATCCTCCTGACCATTCGCACGACGTTGAAGACGCACTATCAGGGTCTTTGGACCGTCGGCTGTCTCGAGCTGAAGCACAAGTCGGTGACTGATGAGGGAGAGCTGGCGGACTGCCGGTGGCCGAGAGTCAAACAGTGCCCGACTGCCGACTTGTCGCAGATCGGCCGGTGCGATGATAATGAGCAGCGAGGGAATGATGCGGCTGTTCTCGAGGTAATAGATGAGCTGCACAGTCCAGTCCCAGCAGCCGCCCTCCTCAATGACGTGCAGCAGACGCAACAAGTAGTCCACCCGGCTTCTGACCTTCCTATCTCTCGACCGGACCCATATCCACAGGGCCCTCCAGGCAGATCGCCACATTTCTCGAAAGTAGGTAAAGGCCTCGGTCTCCATGTTGTGCACCCGCGTCATGCCCTCATCTCCCAAGAGTTCCAACGCGTGCGGCACCGTCCCCATGAGATAGAAGGAAGCAGCCCAGAAAGGCACCTGCAAGACCCAATGCAGTTTCAGCGTCCATGGCACCAGGAGAAACACAACAGCCAGGAGCGCAGCCATCGTGACCAAAGCTGCGATCCACTCCACAGCGAAGGCGGCAAAATGTCTGAGGCATGTCGACACCGAGCTGCGGACAGCGGTGACGCGCTGCAGGGCCGTCTCGGGGCGCTTGATGTAGGCCGGCACGCCGCTGAGTTTCTTGTTGTGGATGGCATCGTCGAGGCGGCGCGTCAGGTAGTCCTCGCTGATGAAATGGCAGCCGAGGCGCTTTGATGTGGCTCGGACAGCACCGCAGCTGGCGGCCGACAGATGGCGCTTCAGATCATCTATAATGTCGTCAGGCAGGCAGCTCAGACGGCTCCTACTCATCATCTTTCACAGCTCTGCTGTGTTGTCTGGGAACTTCGCGAAACAAACACTCCAGCTTTGTGTTCCCCTTCCTGCGAGCTTAAATTGGACCGGCTCGTCCCAGACACAGAGACGCTTAGAGATGCTTATGGATAGCGAGACGACGACATGGCTGGGAGACTGGCAGAGAATCCGTCAGAGAATACACCATGCACACAGGCAGGCAGTATCGCAGGCAGGCAGACAGCAGACAGCCGACCAATTGCCCAGTCAACCGTGCCATCAACAATACAGCACACCCATCCACCAGCCCACATTCACACGCAGCATCCATCCACACGTGGGGAGTTACCGGCTGTTCTCTTGACCGATCAACAAGCTGTTCCACAGCCACCATGCACTAGGGCACTCACACTCCAAAGACAGCATGAGTGTGACATGATGCACGCAAACGTCTTACCGGTGGCCGCCCTCATCGGTGGGCGGCGGGAAACATGTCACAAAATCCGATAGATGGATGGATGGCCAGGATGGAGAGAGAGAGAGGGAGAGACGGACAAAGAGAGCGAGTAGCCTAGCTTGGCTACAGCAGAAGCACACGATAGAGAACCTGTCTACATACGTACACACAAATAGCTTACCTTACAGATGGATCGGTCCAATCACACAAATATACGTAGACACATACGTACAGCACAAACAGACACTGTGTCGCATCGCTAGGCCCCAAGAAATCATGTAGGCAGCTGCACAGGATTGAAACGACCACCTGCAGTCAGCCAGCGGCTATCAAAGGAGTTCCCATGGTCCCCCTCTGTCAGCCGCCGTACCTGTTCTGTCTGTTTGCTTGAGAGGCCTATGCTTACAGCTTGTCGCGGACGAGCCTTGCCGTTCGAGGGAAGCGCTGCTGTGTGCCACCATCGCTGGTCACGGGGGTCTCCGTGGTGCGGATCTCGAAGTAGAGTGTCTGGCCCGTCATGCCACCGTAATTGCGACGCCGAGTCCGCAAAGAGGCAGCGAAGTCGTCACTAGCACGATCCCCGCACAGAATGACTATCGCTTCGTCCTGATTGTCGCGGTCCGGGTCGTCCGGTCCTCTGCCGTCGGCCTTGTGCGCCTTGCGACAGCCCCACACGACATCGTAGATGAGCGCAAATCTGAGCTTGCCTGCGAGTTGACACTGCTCGGACAGTGAGAGGATGCTGTCAGGGTAAGGGGGGCGAGGCCGAGTAGGCTCATGGGAGGCGACATGTAGGAAGATATCCGTGAACGAAGAGTAGATGTAATTGCCGGCCAAAGACAGACAGACAGACAGTGAGGCGCACCAGAAGAGCAATCAGTGAGTGACGTGCTGTCTGTCTTTTCCGCCTGTCTGATCTCGGCCGGGCCACTCACCTTTGGTGGGCGGATCAGATTGGTAGACGGAGACAGTGGCAATCTCATCCGTGAGGGTCGCTGTCAGCGCAGTTGCCGCGTAATTCACCTACACGACGCGGCACATCACCTTGTCGCCACTCATCCGAGTCGATATCAAATCTGTGCTGCCTTCCTTTCCCACCTTGAGATTTGAGCTGCCGCTTACAGGAAAATGCACTGAATCCTTTCCCCCAGCAGCAAACAGCTCAAGGAGCGCCTTTCTCCGCTGGCCATCGAGACGCTCGGCGAGCGCCGCCAAGGTCGCCATGTCGTCCAGCACGCGAGCCTCCTCCTGCGGACAGACACAGGACAGCAGTCAGGTGGCACGAGTCCGACGGACGGACTTGTACGTACGTCATTGCAACTCGGACAGTAGGCGGGTGAGAGAATGTCGGCACTGCCAGTGAGTGATCCCTTGAACTCATCGATCCGCATCGACAGCTGCTCCGGTGGCAAGGCAGCCAACGCCCGGACCTAACACACCCGTGCAATCAGCCACATTGATGTGCGCCGTGCGTGGGGCTGGCTTCAGCGTCATGTTACCTGCCGGCCAAGGCAGCCTACAACAGTCCCTTTGGCGGCGTCGGCAAGGTGTTCACTTCCCCTTTTCATCGCCGCCGCCGCCCTTGCTGCGCAGCTGAAGGGAAGGTGCGTTGGCATCAGCGCCTCGATGGGGAGGAAAGTCAGCACCTGCCGGTCGTGCCGAAGCCACTCGCCTAAATGGTCCTGGCCGTTGGGGGTGCGCTGCAGGGAGAGGCCCGGAACCAATCTGTGGCTGATGAGGGAGAGCTGGCGGACTGCCGGTGGCCGAGAGTCAAACAGTGCCCGACTGCCGACTTGTCGCAGGTCGCCGGGTGTAATGGTGATGGGCAGCGAGGGAATCATGTGACTGTTCTTGAGATAACAGATGACCTGCACAGTCCGGTCCCAGCAGCCGCCGTCCTCAATGACATGCAGCAGACGCAGCAAGTACTCGACACGGCCCATCGGCCGCTCCGACACGATTCTCCCCAGCCACTTGCCGAGTAGACGGTACATATTGAGCCACGCCAAAGAGACAATACAGACGGACCCGCACAGATAGATGCAGCTCCCTGCCGCTGTCTTGATGTCACCGCTGAAGATTCCCGTAAGGATGTCAGCCGGGAAGAGTACTAGTTTTAAGTGGCTGTCGCTCGGAATGAAGAGTCGCGCGAGCAACAATACCCATATCGCCAACTTCCACCCTGTATAGCCATCGATAGACAGTGCAATAATGTCGAAACTTTCGGCCAGTTCGACCAGGATGTCGCCAGCCCGCAGAATGACGGAGCCGTCTGGAAGCAACCACCACCCCCGTGGAAGTCGCGGGGAGATACAAGCCCACGCCTTTGGGAGCAGGAAGACGAGCAGGAAAATCTCCGTGCAGAAGCTGAGCCACTTGCACTGCGAGCCGACCGTAACCTCCACGAGCTTCCAATAGCCGATGTGCAGCGGGTAGAGGGGCGCGAAAAAGTACAGGAGCGCCCCGACGGCGAGGTGGAAAATGAACACACTCAGCTTGGCGAGACAAACCAACAGGCCGCTCCGAGTGCCGCTGTAGACGGCCGTGGCGAAGTGCAGGAGGAACGCCAGTGCCGTCGTGGGAGGCTTCTTGCAGGTCAGCACGCCGCTGAGTTTCTTGTTGTGGATGGCATCGTCCAGCCGGCGCGTCAGGTAGTCCTCGCTGATGAGATGGCAGCCGAGGCGCTTTGATGTGGCTCGGATAGCAGCGCAGCTGGCGGCACACAGATTTCGCTTCAGATCATCTATAATGTCGTCAGGCAGGCAGCTCGGACGGCTCCTACACATCGTGTTTCACAGCTCTGCTGACAAGGCTGGGAACTCGGGGAGAGACCTTCCTGCGAGCTTACATTCGACCGGCATAGAGATGTGGGATGGGCTTAGAGATGCTTATGGATAGCGAGACGACGACATGGCTGGGAGACTGGCAGAGAATCCGTCAGAGAATACACCATGCACACAGGCAGGCAGTATCGCAGGCAGGCAGACAGCAGACAGCCGACCAATTGCCCAGTCAACCGTGCCATCAACAATACAGCACACCCATCCACCAGCCCACATTCACACGCAGCATCCATCCACACGTGGGGAGTTACCGGCTGTTCTCTCGACCGATCAAAAAGCTGCTCCACATCCACCATACACCACGGCACGCACACCCCAAAGACAGCATGAGTGTGACATGATGCACGCAACCGTCTTACCGTGCCATCCATCGTCTCACTGCGGTGGGCGGCGGAAAAACGTTCGCAAAATCCGACAGATGGACGGCCAGGATGGATGGATAGATGGAGAGAGAGAGAGAGAGAGGGAGGGATGGACAAAGAGAGCGAGTAGCCGAGCCTAGCTTAGCTACAGCAGGAGCACATGATAGAGAATCTGTCTACATACGTACACACAAATAGCTTACCTTACAGATGGATCGGTCCAATCACACAAATATACGTACATACATACGTACATACATACGTACAGCACAAACAGACACTGTGTCGCATCGCTAGGTCCCAAGAAATCATGTAGGCAGCCGCACAGGATGCAAACGACCACCTGCAGTCAGCCAGCGGCTATCAAAGGAGTTCCCATGGTCCCCCTCTGTCAGCCGTCGTACCTGTTCTGTCTGTTTGCTTGAGAGGCCTATGCTTACAGCTTGTCGCGGATGAGCGCTGCCGTGCGAGGGAAGCACTGCTGTGTGCAACGCTTGCTTCCCGTAGGGGTCTCCGTGGTGCGGATGTCGAACCCCAGTGTCTGGCCCGTCATGGGACCGCAATTGCGGCGCACGACCCACAAAGAGGCAGCGAAGTCGTCACCCGTACGATCCCCACAGAGAATGACTATCGCTTCGTCCCGATTGTCACGGTTCGGGTCGTCCGGTCTTCTGCCGTCAGCCTTGTGCGCCTTGCGGCATCCCCACACGACATTGTAGGTGAGCTCAAATCTGAGCTTGTCTGCGAGTCGACGCTGCTCAGAGGGCGAGAGGACGCTGTCAGGGGTCAGTTGATAGGGGCGAGGCCCAGTAGGCGCATGGGAAGCGAGATATAGGATGGAGTCCGTGAACGAAGAGTAGATGTCATTGCCTCCTAGAGACAGAGAGACAATCAGGCGCACGAGAAGAGCAAACGGTGAGTGATGTGCTGTCTTTTCTCCGCCTTTTTTCGATTGGTCTCTCACGTTTGGTGGGCGGATCAGATTGGTAGACGGAGAGGGTGGCAATCGCATCCGTGAGGGTCGCTGTCAGCGCAGCTGCCGCATCCTTCACCTACACGACGCGGCACATCACCTTGTCGCCACTGATCCGAGTCGATATCAAATCTGTGCTGCCTTCCTTTCTCACCTTGACATTTGAGCTGTGGCTGAGAGCGACAAGCACTGAATCCTTTTGCTTTCCCCCAGCGCCAAGCAGCTCAAGGAGCGCCTTTCTCCGCTGGCCATCGAGTCGCTCGGCGAGCGCCGCCAAGGTCGCCATGTCGTCCAGCACACGAGCCTCCTCCTGCGGACAGACAGGGGACAGCAGTCAGATGGCACGGGTGCGACGGACGCACTCGTACGTACGTCATTGCAACTCGGACAGTAGGCGTGAGAGAATATCGGCATTGCCAATGAGGGATCCCTTGAACTCATCGATCCGCATCGACAGCTGCTCCGGTGGCAAAGCAGCCAACGCCCGGACCTGACAAACCCGTGCCATCAGTCACACTGACCGACATGTCTGTGCGCCGTGCGTGCGTTCTTTGGCTGGCTACAGCACCGTATTACCTGCCGGCCAAGGCAGCCTACAACAGTCCCTTTGGCGGCGTCGGCAAGGTGCTCACTTCCCTCCTTCATGACCACCGCCGCCCTTGCTGCGCAGCTGAAGGGAAGATGCGTTGGCATCAGCGCCTCGATGGGGAGGAAAGTCAGCACCTGCCGGTGCGGCCCAAACAACTCTCCCAAATCGTCTTGGCCGGCCAAATCGTCTTGGCTGTTGGTGGTACGCTGGACATGCAGGGAGAGGCCCGGAACCAATTTGTAGATGAGAAGGGAGAGCTGGCGGACTGCCGGTGGCCGAGAGTCAAACAGTGCCCGACTGCCGACTTGTCGCAGGTCAGCCGGTGCGATGATAATGGGCAGCGAGGGAATGATGCAGCTGTTCTCGAGGTAATAGATGAGCTGAACAGTCCGGTCCCAGCAGCCGCCCTCCTCCATGACGTGCAGCAGACGCAACAGATACTCCGCATGGCCCATCGGCATCTCTGACTTGATTCTCCTCACCCAGTTGCCGACTGGTATCAGGACTATTTCTGCCGCAAAGACAGAAACATAGAAGGACGCGGAAATCGACACACAATGGTCCAGCGCGCCGTTCAGGTCACCGCTGAAGATCCCCCTGACGTGGTCGGCCAGCGATTCCTTCCAATCGACAATGCTTGTCACCACCACCACCACCAGACAGCCCACACGGCCGCAGAAAAACCGGGCGCCCGCATCAGTATTGCGGAGGGCAAAGAACGAGTCCCAGATGGAGCCGCCCGGAAGCAGCCACCAGCCACCAATCACTACCCCACTCGCCAACAGGAATCGAGCCCAAGAAGCCAGCCACTCGCACGCCGCCCCGTCCGTGGGCTCCTTGCACGTGGCGGCCACCACAGGATGGAGGTCGAGAAGCATCACAGACACCAAGACGATGAGTGGGAATAACTTGGCAAGACCCGCCGACAGGCCGCTGTAGACGGCCGTGGCGAAATGCAGCAGAAACGCCAGGCTCGTCGTGGGGGGCTTCTTGTAGGCCAGCACGCCGCTGAGGTCCTTGTTGTGGATGGCATCGTCGAGGCGGCGCGTCAGGTAGTCCTCGCTGATGAGATGGCAGCCACCACATTTTGATGTGGCTCGCAGCGCACCGCAGCTGGCGACCGAGAGGTGCCGCTTGAGCTCCCGTCCGACATCATCAGGCAGACGGCTCAGATGAGGCTCGACAGCGGTCATCGTCCTGGAATCCGCCGGGCCGGCCCGCTGATCAAGCTGACTCTCACACGGTAGATCACGCTTATATCATTCATTCATTCGTTCATTCGAGCGTCCTCATGAACACACAAGGCATTCATTGAACAAAACGATCACGAATGGCTCTGAGGAATTGCGAGCTTAGCTCCGTCACGAGAATGGAAAAAGGGAATCACGGCGGGCGGGTATTGGACGATCTCTGCCGATGAAGTAGAGAGTGACCAGGGTCACAGCGCCAGGACCGCGGCTCTAGATCTCCCCTTCTCGTGTATTCGCACAATGGGTCCCCCGTAGTGATCCTTCTGCTTGTGGTGCCCTCCACGATGGGCACACAGGACCAACAGAGCCTTCGAGGTGGGCGGGCAGCTAAGGGATGAGCGGAACAACAAATAGTGACTTGCCTTATCTGTCTGCGATCCTGCTGTCTGTGTGCCTGTGTGCACAGGCGCTCAAGAGACAGCCAGCGACGCTACCGACGGCGGTATGTACGCAGATAGGCCCATTTTGTTCATTCCGTCCCTCACCGACATTCAGGTGCGACACCCCTTATGGCGCCCCCTCTTCGTGCAGCCCAGGGGAGCATCCTGGACCAAGTGTCGACCGTGACCAACCCCGGAACTGCCACTGGCTCCCAGATTGGCACTGGCCCAGGTTGTGTGTCATGCGTCGCAGATACACACACACGCCCCCTGGTTACTTCAGCCCTGCCAGCCCGGGGCCTGGCGGGTTCCCTTAGACAGACAGGTGGGCAGGAACGTGCGCCATGCACACACACACACGAACGGCTCTCTTTCTGTGCATTCTCGTTTTGGCGCAGGCCAGCAAAGCAAGACAACCGCTCGTTAGTCTGTCGGAGAGAGGGGCAATGCGTTAGACGCCTGATGCTCGCATACATCGAGAGAGAGCCACCTTGAGAGGAACAGGAGTAGTCATCTGATTTTTATCTCACGCACGATAGTGTGCAATGCCGGATTGATTCTGAGCGACAGGAAGGCAGAAAAGATGCGTGTTCTCGGGATGTGTCGGTCTGTGTGTGTGAGTGTGTGTATGTGCGTGCCAGAGAGGAATCACCTGCTGAGCGAGAGCACGGCCGTGTTTGTGTGTATGCGTGAGCCAGGTGTTCTGTCTGCTCGTTTGTATCTGCCGCGCTTTGTATGCGGCCGGCTGCATTGCCTCGTTTGCCCGTATATGTGCACGGGTGTGTCTAGGCCTGTCTGTGAGGATCAAGGCACTTGCAGCCATCACACAGAGACTCTGTCGCGCCACCTGGTGGCTCTCTAGTGACCCTATCTGACGCTGTGACTGTGAGAGATGATGAAATGGAAGCCTCAAGGCGAGTGGCGAGGGGGGGATGGGGGGAAAGGCGGTACACACTGCCGGGGAGGACGTTCTGATGGTAGAAGCTGACTTGTCGCCGTGTATGACTGACGATGCAGAGCCTGCAAGTAGAAGAGGTCGTCCGACCTGATTGACTGCTGACTGTGTCGTCTTGTCAGTCGCTCACTGCATGCCATGCATCAATCATATCAATGGTCGTCTCAATCTGCATGTCTATACATTCATGCCAGCCAGCACAATTAATGGACGATTCAACGAAGGAACGAAGAACACATCGATCAACGCACTGCATGCCACAATCTACAGCTACGCTCCCTCCCTGACTATACTATGCCATTCCCCCCGTCCACTGCCTCTCATAAAGCGGCGAGTGCCGATGACTCGACCTGCACACACACACACACACAGTTGTATGTATCAGATTTTCGATCAGATGTGCCCACCCGACGGCGAGTATATGTGTCTCTGTCGCAGTGTCGTGTTCACTGGGCGGGGTGGATGTGCTGCTCAACAAACTACACACACGCACACACACACACACACACACTCAGGCGGAGGTGGGTGCGTGCCTGTCTGTCTGTCTGTCTGAGTGTGTGTGTCGCTCACTTGGTGTCGTCTTCCTCATTGTTCTCATCGTTGTCCTGCGTCTCACCACCTCGCGGCTCCACAAACCGATGGACACACTGCTTCACCTAGGACGCAGACCCGCACACACAGGCACCGACGCGTGAATGTGTGTGTGTATGTTGCTGTGTATGTTGGTGTGTACCTCTCGTGCAGGGAATGCGTACACCGCCCAGAGTGAGAGCGGGACAGTGAGGACACACGTCAGGCAGTTGGCATACGCCTCACTCATCACCTCCTGCACACACACACACACACACTCACTCACACGCCACCGCGCGCTGCGCATGCACACGCATCATATGTGCGTGTCGATGTCTGCGTACCTCCGTGTAAGATGGAGCGGGCTCCTGTTGGTTGAGCAGAGCGGCACACACCCTCCTGTGTGCAAGGTACGTCAGCACCAGCCTGAAAAAACACGCATTATGGGCGAGTAGGTGTTATGGGAGATAGGTGGCAGTGAATGCACCCACCCCACCCCACCTGAGGTACTGCATAATTGCGGGATCCGATATCATGACCATCCATGCCTTCCAGTCGCTCCTGTACTCCCGCAGCGGCTTCCTGCTCGCCGCTATCAAAATGGACAGACCATACCCACACACCACCTGAGACAAGATCCCCACCTGCGCACATCCAGCGCACACACACACGCACAGCTGTGTACACGCACACGCATCTGGCGGCCAGAATACTCACCCAGTCGAGCATCGGCATGAAGTCCTCGACCAGTGTTTGGGTCAGCAGAAGGGCCGGCCCGATCATGGCGTGTTGCATCACCTGATTGATGCGCACACACACGCGCAGCCTAGGGATGCAGTTCATGGCATGGGTGTGGCAGTGGGGCGACTGACTGACCATTATACGGCTCCAGTAGAAGTGCGACAGATGGAATCTCCTCCCATCCAGCGGCCTCAAACACTTGCAAATCTGACATACACACAGACACACAGGTTGGTCGGTGTGAGGTGGTGCATTTGTGTCTGTTGGTGCGCTGTGTCACCCAAAATTCGGTGAGGAACTTCATTGGAGGTTCGTGGTGGAGCACCGCTATACACCTGAACGAAGCACATGCAAGACTCTCCTTGGGCAATCCATCCATCCATCCGATGGTGAGTCGCTCACCTTTCTGGGCCTCCTAGCATCTCGCACAGGAGGTCCCTGAGCACACCCATCGTCAATCCATTCCCAGCCTGTCTGCCTGTCTGCCTCTGTGCGCGGCTCACCAGAGAGCGAAGAGAGCGGTCATGTAAGCGAGATTGGAAAATAGACCAAACAGACGCCCTAGACGAATGTAGAACAAGCCCACACTGAAGCACAGACCCAGAGAGGGGGAGAGGTGAGAGAGAATGACTGTCCGCCCTTCTGTCCGACCGACCAGCTGAATAGTGCCAATTGCGGCACCATCACAAGGATTTTGAAGGTCAGCCGCGTTTGCCTCGGCAACAGAACACGCCCACGAGACTTTCGCAGCTCATCGCCTGCACGCAAAACACCCCAACGAAGTCGCACACACACACATACAGACAGATACACAATGAGTGAGTGCGCGTGTGAGTCCGTGTACCAACGCGAAAGTGGCACCACCAGTGGTAGCCGATGATGGCCACACAGAGCAGCGTCGACGCGCACGCAACCACCCATAGCACAATGAACCTGTCGATGGACTCGGACACATACACCCATAAGACACCATTGACTGACTGTCTTGTTGAGTCAGTCATCTCTCTCTCTTTTCTGTCACCTTGTGGGCGCCTGCTTGACGTGGTCCGATAGATACGGCAGACTGCAGGTTCATTGATTCATTCAGCAGACAGACAGACACAGTGCAGCAGTCAAATCAATGCACACACATGGCCTCGCTCACTTTGAGTAGGGGAGGTGATTGAGTCGGCGAAAGAGCGCCCCGAGCATAACATTGCACCCACTGTCGTCGATGACGCCTGCAGACAGACAGACAGACAGCCACACACAGACACACACATCCATTCTGTCCATTCCAGTGCGTCGATCTCTACCTGTGTGCTGCCACGCATCATGGCGATGAATCGTCAACGAGCTGGACGCCCTCTCCATCGTAGATTCTGGCGTTTGCGAGCTCTTATGCCGTCTGCAATACATGAGCTCGCACGTATCTTTGAGAAGGCATTAACCGCCAAGGGCAGATCTCTCCGTGCCGCCCCCCGATCCAACCGCCTGTGTCAGCCGATCACTTTTTTTGCCTGGAAGACGACTCCAGCCGGGTGACGTTGGCATCATGAGCCACCTATGCGGGTTGTGCGTCGCGACAGAGAGCACCTCTGAGGTCATGCACGAGCCCCTTCAGCTGCCGGTGCACAGAGAGGCCAGCGGCAATGGACATACTTCAGGTGCGTGGGATGGGCGGAAGACAGGCAGACAGACAGAGATGGAGAGGTGGGACAAGCCAGGGTGGGTGTCTGTCTGTCTCTGCGTGTTGGGTGTTGCAGATGGTTACAGCTCTTCGCCGAATGGGTCGAGTTGGCCGGCGCATCGCGGCGAGGCCGGCAGCAGTGTGGTCATGCAGGAAACAGTCAGGCCCGCTGCTGGGCCGGTCTGTGGGGTCTGCTGCACTGTCGACAAGTGAGTGGAATGCATAGACAGACCGACCGACCGACAGACAGAGATGGATGGGCTAGCGTGCATGTGTTTGTGTCTGTGTCTGTATTTGTGTTTGTGTCTGTGTCTGTGTGTGTCTATGTGTGTATCAGTGAGGGAGCCAGTCGCGAGTTAGGTGCACGCGATGCGGAGCAGCGGCTGGGTTTGGCTGAGTCGCTGCGTCTGATACTGGAGTCGCCCGAGCTGAAGCCGTCCCCCCGCGCACACCTGCCCGTCTTCTTCGAGGAAAGCATCGCCGGCTCACAGGTGAGGTGGAGTGCCATCGATGGGTGTGAGTGTGTGTGCGTGTGTTATCGTGTACTGTCGTGTCGTGTGTGGGTTGTATGTGCGTATCAAACAGACTGGTGCGAGGAGTTTGCCGACCCATGTGTCCCACTCCCACCCGTCGAGGGGTGAGCTGAGCTGAGTAACAATGGCAGGCAGCCATGCACAACCCAAGCATGCATGTGTTTGGTTTTGTCTATCCCTCCATCCATCCATGATATATTTTGGTCCTTCGTCAGGTTTGCCCCCGGCTGCGTTGGACCTTCAGCAGCAGGTGCAGCAGGTCTCCACCGACGAACCCGAAGCTGAGGTAAACCACACACAAGACGACACGAACACGGGAGTCCATCAGCTTGTTTTGTTTGTCTGTCTGTGGTGTGTGAAGGTGTCGTATGCGGCGAGGATGCAGGGCGGGACGAACAACGGTCAGGGCCACGACGGCAAGGACACCACCGGCAGCTACAAACACAACGGCAGCACTGCCAACGGTATGCCTGGATACATGGCTGGGTGGCTGGACGAATGTGCAGCTCGAAGACACACATGGATGTGTGGTCGGATGGGCGTGTGTGGATGTATGTGTGTGTGTAGGCAAGTGTGACGATCCGTCGGCGCTGCTGCACCAGTACACTCTCAACCACGGAGGGTTCGGAGGTACGCACACGCACGCACATTCACTCAGGCGTACCTCTGTCTGTCTGTCTGTCTGTCTGTGTGTGTGTGTGTCATGTGTGGCGTGTGTGCTTCAGGTTTGGGTCAGCAGATGCTGGAGATCGAGAACCTCAAGAAGCAAGTCAAGACACTGCAGTACGTCTCCCTCCCCCCTTCCACACACACGCACAGAGAGGGAGAGATCCACTCAGGCCGTGCAATCCATGTGTGTGTTTCTCTCTGATTGTGTGCAGGTTCAATGCTGGCACAAACCCGAATCCGCCGCCCATTCCCCAGCAGCTGTACCACGTGCAGCAGCAGCAGCACCACACACACGACGTCTACTGCCCATGCACCAACCCTGTCTGCAGATGCTGCAACAGGTGTGATGGTCTGTCTGTCTGTCTGGTGGTGCATTCGTGAGTGCCTTTGTGCGATGTGTGTGTGTGTGTAGGCGTGTGGTGCCGTGCACCTGTGCGGGCTACCACACGCACCAGAGTGCCGGCGGTGTCAACAACACGAGCTGCAGCGGGGGTGTCAATGCGCAGCAGCACACGGTTGTCACCACAGGTCCGGCTGTGGTGTCCTGCGAGAACTGCAATGGCATCACTGTCAAGTCGCTGCCGTCTCCGCACGAACACATCGGTCGGTATGCATTCAGAGGTGGATGGATGGATGGACACACTGTCTCTCGGTTTGCGTGCCATCCATTCGTCCATCGATCAGTGGTGCCCCTGACGTCGCCCGCGTCTGACCGTGAGGCTTCATCAAATTCCTCCCTCCAGTGCAAACCCTCCTGCGGCCCCACTTGCAAGAAGTCCAAAATGTAAGCAGCACAGAGAGAGTGAGAGAGACCTACTCACAGACACGTGTGTGTATTCCTTTGTTCGGGTGTGTGTGTGTGATGGGTGCAGGAACTTGATCATAGCCGTGACTGCAGCTGCGGTGCTGATCGCCGCGGCCATCGTGCTGGGCGTCGTGCTGCCGTACTCATTCACCGGAAGTAGCCACCACACACACGCAGACAGATAGACAGACAGAGGAGACAGAGGGAGATTTACTCGTGTGGGAATATGTGTGTGTGTGTGTGTATGCAGGCACCGGCCCCATTGTGCCGGTGGACGTCGACGGCGCGGTCATCGGCGAGTCAGTGACCTTCTACGCACCTGGTATGCACACACAGACACACACACACACACACACACACAGAGCGAGAGAGAGGGAGATTCTCTCTCCCTGTGTGTGTGTATGTGTACAGGTGGTTATCTTTTGAGTGGTAGAAGGGGAGGATCTTTCTAAAGCGTCTTTACTATGAAATCTTTCGTTTACATTTCTTCCCATTTTTCAATTTCTTTTTTATAATTCCATTTGCTTAAGGTGCCGACCCCGTAGCATACTTTAAGCTCGAGAAAGACGCTAAGGTACCCACCCCACCGAGCTGCGTAATCAATGCCTGGACACCTGTCTGTGTGTGTGTGTCTGTGTGTGTGTGCAGCCTGTGACGGGCAAGAAGGGCGACGAGACACTCGAGAGCGACTACAAGGGACTCTTTAAGGCAACATACCACACACAGCGAGACCCACCCACACACACACACACAGACACACACACACACAGACGTGTGTGTGTGGCCCCATGACATCCGTCAGGTTGCTTTCGAGAACAAGGAGAACAAACAGATGTTCGACGCAAACCCTGGTGGGTGCCTACACATGCTTACCTCAGCAAGCCTCTTCATTTGTGTCTGTGCGCTGTGTGTGTGTGTGCCTACAGAGGCGTACCTGCCCAAGTACGGCGCTTGGTGTGCCTTCGCCATGGCTTTCGGAGGTACGCTACCCTACACACCGACATATAGATCGACTCACCCACGCTTGTGTATGTGTTGACACGTGTGTGTGTGTGTGTGTGTGCAGAGTATGTGTTGACCGACCCCGCCAAGTGGGAGATCCACGAGGGCAAACTCTACCTCACCGTCGCAGCCAAAGAACTTGTGAGTAGTATTACCGGACTCACACTCGTCTGTGTCCAACTTTTCCTCTCTCTCTCTCTCTCTGTGTGTGTGTGTGTGTGTGTGGTGCCATACATAAAACATTCAGGAGGAGTGGCGTGCCGACCGTTCAGGGTTCATCAAGAACGCCAACACATTCTGGCAGAAACAGGGCTGGACCAATGGCCACTAACTAGCCTAGCGGAGACACACACACCAGATAGGCTCGCCGCACACGGCACGGCCGGGCCGTCGTGATTGGATTGGATTGGATTGTGGATGTGATGTGTAAAACCGGCGAGTGAGTGTTGCTGAGCTGAGCTGATGGGGTGGGATGGGATGGGCGTGGCGGGGCGTGCGTGTGGGTGTGGGTGTGCATGTGGGTGTGTGCATTGCACGTGAGTGAGTGAGTTGATTGATACGTATGTGTGTGAGTGAGGGAGTGGCCCTAGTTGAGATGGATGTATGAGTAAGGAAGAAACGAGGGGGGGGGGGGGGGA